GTACCTACTTACATAAGCTTCTTGCCTGTCTTCCTGCCTGGCTGCCTGCCTGGCTGTCTGCCTGCCTGCTGCTGTTCCTGCCGCCCAGTCCCGGGAGCGGGATGTAGAGCGGCTCAGTCGGCAGCTGGACGCGGGTCGGGACCAGAACCACATCACAGCGGCGGCGGCGGAGCGGGAGGCGGCGGCGCAGAAGGACGCGGCGGGGCGGGCGGAGGCGGCGCTGGCCACCGCTCGTGCCAGAATTACCCAACTTGAGGTGGGAGTTACGGTTTGAGAGGGGGAAATTATAAGACATGAGTGCAGCAAACATAAGTGCATGGGAAGTCGCAGGGACGCCGTGATGAAACTACATGTGGTGGCTACAACGGGTGACTGTGTTTAGCCTTGCTTTACAGATGCTATACACGTAGGGTTGGAGGCGACTCCGGTAGATTGCTCCACCTAGTCCTCATCCCTGCCCTTCCCTGACCCATGGGTCACCCTCAGAGCGAGCTACTAGCCAAGGAGCGGCAGATGGAGGCGCTGCAGCGGCTGGCGGGCTACAGCCGAGCAGGCGACGCGGAGGCGGCAGCAGCTGCGGAGGAGCGTGCGGGGCGAGCCGAGGAGGCAGCTCGGCGGCTGGATGGGGAGCTCGCAGCCATGCGCATGCGCTACTCGCAGGTGGGATGAGGGGGGATGAAGCGTGTCTGCCGTGACGGCGGCGGCGGGCGAGCGCCATCTTGCCTGTGACCGTTACTGCATGCTTCTGCCAGTAATACCTGCCCGCCCCGCTTCTTCCATCCTTACCGAGCCCCCCTCCCTGCTGTTCTCCCATTATGTGGTACGGTACCTCCTTGTCCGAAAGGGACTCAAAACGCCTGTACAACTTACCTTCCACTGCCACTTCTCCCAATCCCCTTCCCGCGCCGTACACACATCACGACACCTCAGCTGGAGCACGCCTTCCGCGGTCGGGAGGCCTCCCTGGACAAACTCAAAGCCGCCCTGTCGGAGAAGATCGTGCGGGAGGAGCGCCGACTGGCTCGCGACAAGGCAGCCTACAGCCGCATCCGGGCTGCCTACGTAGCCACCATGGGGTCGGGGGCAGGGGCAGGGGCGGGGGCGGGCGGCGGCGGCGAGGCGAGCAGCGCCCGGGCTGCAGGTGCCATGGCGGCCGCTGCTCGGGAGCTTCGGCCCGTGGAGATTGTGGGGCTGTACGAGTCACGGCGGGAGGCAACGGAGCAGGAGCTGGCGGCATGCAGGGCAGAGGTGGGGGAGGGGGGGGGGCGGCGGGTTTGGGGTTTCGGAGTCCCTTGGAGGGACACGCTGCTGGTGTTGTAATATGGACAGGGATGACGCCGTTTCCACGGCGCTGCCAAAAACCGGTTATCGCTCTCGGAAGTGTGGCTTGTATGCGGCCTGGCCTGCTAGTGGTGCTTAATGCTGCAGCACCGCACTGGCAGTTGTCCTTCCTGGGCTGCATGGGCTTCATCCTCCCCAGGGGGTCATACTGTTCGTCAGTTTTCCTATGTTTACCCCCTCCCCTTCACACCACACATTGGAATTTCTTTTTCCCCTTCCGCCTCCCTCCCCCCAGGTTCGCAGCCTGGCGGATCAGCTGCGGGACGCGCAGAACCTGATTGCGCTGAAGGACCGCTCGGGGGCGTGGCGCTCACCGCAGGAGCTGGCGGACATGCAGGTGGGCTAGAAGGACAGCTGCGGGGGTGGATGGGATGGCATGGATGGAAGGATTGGAAGAGGCTGCCGGTGGGGGCTGGATGGCAGTAAGCGCCTGCCAGTTAAAACCTGCATGTTCGTTTTCCTTCACAAACCTGCCCTCTCGAAGCTTTTGCATGGCATTGGGACGGTGACCCAATACCGGTATTCTCTGGTTTCGCTGTCTGATGCGGTCCGACACGTACACGAATTCGTTCGTGCCCAGCCCCTGTTGTTCCCTTCAGATGCTTGCTCTGAAACCCCTTTTCTGCTTGCGCTTTGAAACCCCACCTCGGGAGCAGGCTCGTGTCATCCTGCTAGAGCGGCGCTGCAATGACCTGCAACGCGAGCTGGAGCGCAGCCGGCTGGAGGCGGCGGAGGCGGGCCGGGCGGCGGAGCGGCGGCTGGCGGAGGTGGAGCGGCGGGCGGCGATGCTGAAGGTAGGGTCTACAAGCGGCTGGCGAGTCATTATCTACGTAGTCTGGGATGTTACACAGCAGCAGCAGCAGCACCTGCAGGGTTTGGTTCCTCGCTGACCCTTTTGGTGGCATTGGCTGCCGCAGGAGGACAATGAGGCGCTGGTTCACGAGCTGGAGGGCCGACCCACGCTGCAAGAAAACAGGTGGGTGCCACACGCCTTGCGTGCGTAGTGTGTCTCCTGCGCTGCATGCACCACACAGCACTTGGGCGGGTTGTGGCCCGGGTGGCAGCATGCGGCTTTTTTTAATCTACATGTAAGGGGGCCAAAATTGAACAAAGCATTGGGGGGGTGATGTGGTGACCCGGGCGGACCTGCCGTACACCCCAAGCAGCTGCCGTGAGTGCATGTATAGTCTTACCGCGTCATAGGCGCCCCGCCCTCTGAACATCCGCCACCCCCCTGCCACCACCTGCCTGCCTGCTCGCGGCCGCTGCAGGTCTCTCAAGCGCGAGGTGGAGATCCTGGAGAAGCGGCTGCTGCAGCTGAAGGGCAGCACCGCCGCCAACGGGGCGGGAGCGGAGGCGGAGGGCGGAGAGACGGCGCTGGGACTGGCGGTGGCGGCCAAGAGCAGGAGCTCAGGTGACACATGGGGACGTATACTCGTACTCCTACTACCCGTACACCATGCCGGCTTGAACCCCAGGATCTTGATCGGCATGGTCGCCATGCGGCCTTTCGTAGGTGTAGGTACCCAACCTCTATGCCCAATCGGCCCCGCCTCTTCGCTGTCCTCGCTACCCCTCATTACCCTGGTTGTTGCTATCCGCCTCACATCATCCCTGCAGCGCTGCTGACCACCGCCCAGCGCATGGCTCGCGACCGCTCGGTTCACCGGCTGGGTCTGCGGGCGCTGGAGGACTGGCCCAAGGATGTGATGGTGGACCTGGTGCAGGTGGGGAGGGGGGGAGACGGGGGGTGGGGAAGAGGGGAAACTGGTGAGCGGCATGACCACCAGTTTCATCTCCCCCAGATGTTGGGAGATTGGGAAAAGGGGTGGAGCAGTCTGTAAGTCTGTAACATTCCAAACCTCATGGCCCAACTGGCCCTACCTGGTGTAGGTAGGGAAGGGGCAGCCGAGGTTGTGTGGGGAGGCCTCTTCAGCACTCCAGCCTGTCCACCCTCATGCTACCCTATGTTTCGCCAGTCGCTCGGCTCATGCGCGCAGATGGATGGCGAGGCCAAAGTCAAAACACCGGCACTTCAGCCCTCCTTGCCACCTCCTGTACCCTCGCTCCATTCACCCAATCCTACGCAATCGCACCATTTCAGCCCTGTCCGGAGTACCCATCCCCTCCAAGCTCCAACACCTGCTCCATGCTCTCTCGCCCACAGGACGTGTGCATTGAGCTGGACCTGTCGGACGCCACCACGCTGCCTGCCGCCGTGAGGAAGGTGCTGCGGGTGGTGGGCGCCGTACCGCGCATGGAGGCCTTCATCGGCGCCGTGTGCGAGAGTGTGTACCGAAAGGGCGCCGCCTTCGTGCCGCCGCACATTGACGGCACCACCGACCCCAGCCGGGTAGGACGTAGGAGGAGAGGAAGGCGCGGGTACCGCTACCTGGCAGAGACGCGGATGCGTGGCATGCGACTTGCTGCCGCACCAAAGGGCTGAAAATACAGGGCCAGGCCTAGTACTTACCCTTCACGCACGAGCCTTCGGTCTTTGGTCACTAGGCCTGCTCCTTGCTAAGGATTCGTGCGCGATGCGGTGCATGTAGGTACTGGAGGTGCTGGCGACCTGGCTGGGCCTGCTGCAAGAGGGCGCCCAGATGCGGTCTGCGATGCGGGCGGTGACGGAGGCGCTGGCGGCTCGGGCTGAGGGCTTGGCCATGTGAGTGCCTGAGTGGGGAAGGCGCAGGTGTCGCTTGGGCTGCAAGCATGCTGCACTCCTCGTCGCATCTCCCTTCGATTGTCGTACTATTTCTATTGCTTATGCGCTGCTGCTTTCTCGGCGCCGCCCCTTTGCACGCAGGCCCATCCACGGTCCCGGCGACGTCGTGATGAGTGTACGGCAGCTGGTTGAAGCCGAGGCGGTTGCGCTCACAGCGCGCGAGTCGTTGGCCGCGGCAACCAACCACCTGGCCGCGCAACCCGAGCAGCTGCTCTCCCGGCTTGTGTCGCACTTCATGCGGCTGTTCGACTGTCCCTCCCTGGAGGGTGTCGTACCCGCAGTCAACCGCTTGTACGTCACCCTTAACGAGCAGCGCAACTTTGCTCGTGCGCTGGCGGTAGCGCTGGGCCTGCCTGAGAACACCGGTGCGTGTTGCGGACGTGCAGTGGAATGCCATGTTGAGTTGGGGGCCGAGGCACGTTGGATGGTGCTAAGCTAAATGGCCATCCTGTAGGCTATCGTGATTAAGCATGTATGCATATTTATAAGCGGGCATAGGTATGGGTAGCCAAACACCGTGGGGTTTGGCCCTGCTCTTAGCTTTGCTGTTAGGTCCATGGATATGTACCTTGGCATCCATTCCCCTCAGGTCCCTCAGCCTGCGTGTCTCGGGTGCGCGCTCTCATGGACAGCGCCGCCGCTACGGACGCATCCCAACAGTCCGGCGCCGGAGGGAGTCGCAGTGAAGACGAGAAACTCAAGCCGGATTACATCAAGGGAGGGGCCAAGTCGGAGTCACCGGCTGCCCCCATGCCAACCGCACCCCAAGCATCAGCTGCAGCGGTAGGGGTGGAGGTGTCGGCAGCCTTGGAGCGGCTCATGGCCCTCTTTGGCGTGCGTACGGCAATGGCGGCGGCTGAGGCAGCTGATAAGGCCGTGACAAGGCTACGGCGCCTAGATGAGGTGCTTCCGCGGTACCAACGCCTGGCGTCGCAGCTGTTTGAGACGTTGCGTTGTACGAGCCTGGAGGAGGTGATGCCTTCGCTGCGGATGGTGTTGCAACAGCGCACGCAGGAGTGGCAGGGCTAAGGAATTTTACAATGCTGTGTACAGTTTTGAGATCTTGGGTTAACGGTTGGCTCACGGCTGTCACATACGGCCCTGTTGATCACGTAAACACCAAGTCGGTCATGCGTAAGGTTTGCCCCGCCAGAGGGTACGAATGTCTAATATGGCCCTTTGCCTGTAACCATACACGAAGTAAGCACACTCGGGACGGAGGTCGAAGCAAGCAGGCACTCAGGACGCAAGTAAAAATAAACAGGCACTGCGTGTGTGTCTGCACGGCGAGCACGATACTCCGCAACAACAACTATATGCCCTCCACTTGTCTCAGTGATGCGTGCGAATCTTTAAAGACAACGATTAAGCTGCCGCTCCGGCGACCCACCTTCAAACACGTCAGAAAGGTGGTCGTATTATCAGGTAAGTAGTCTCTAGCCTAGCGAGCCTTGCGCTCGCCACCCAAAAACCATATAGCAATATCACACTCTTACTATCACCCGAGTAGCAAAGCCAGCAAAGGGCGAAACAACTTCGAACACCCATCTCCACCGTTCCCTATCGTCAGCAGCGTCGCATCACCAGCAACATCGCGTGAATGGCTTCACAGCCCTTGCTTTAGAGCCCGCGCATCATCTTGGCGAACTCGCCAAAGTCAATGGTGCCGCTGCCGTCCAGATCGACCTGCTCAATGATCTCGTCAATCTCCTTGGGGTCGACGCCTAACGAGGGGTCCGACAGCGCGTTGAACAGCTCTTGGCGAGTGATCTGGCCGTCGCCGTTCTCGTCGAACCGGGCAAAGGCCTACGGGGGGGGGGGTGATGCATGGGGGAGCAATCTGGTGTCAGTAGAGGGCTGCAGAGCTCTTGTACCTCTAGCTGTAGCGCGCACACGATTCCTAGTAGGGCACAAGGTCGCCACCTTGCTTTGCGTAAAGCCTATATCCTTATTCACGCGAAGTAACAAGGGCCGTACGGACCCTTCCCCACCCGCCCACACCGCGCACCTGCTTCAGCAGCTCCTCGCGCTCCAGCTTGGAGCGGTTGATGGTTGCCGCTAGGAACTCCTCGTAGTCGATCAGGCCGTCGCCGTTCACATCAGCCTCCTGTGGAATGCATCAGCCGCAATGCGAGTCATGGCAAGGCAAATCATCATCATGCATGCGCTAAGTCAATTGGAAGCCCAATCTATTGCATGGGACTTCCCTATATGCAGCCCTTTCGGGACTGTCAGCAAGCTTTTTGACCCCTTCTTCCGCACCTGGATCATCCGGCCCACGTCGTCAGCCGTCAGGCCCTGCACGCCCTTCTTCTTCAGCGCTTCGCTGAACTCCTCCATTGAAATGGTGCCGCTCTTGTCCTTGTCAATCTCCAGGAAGATCTCCCGCATACCGTTGATCTCGTCGAGCGGCAGGCTCTTGGCAATCAGCTGCAAGCCACGGCCATGCAAGGAAGGCAAAGAAAACAAATTGAGCCACTGTCAACCACAACCAAGGAAGAAGGAACGATCTCAAGCGTCAGCCCTTCTGAAGCCCATGCAGGTTAACAGCTAAGAATCGTCCGCAGAAATCCGCAGGGCAGGAACCAGGCGCTGGAGAGCAGCCATACATTCACATCTACGCTCCTCCCGTTTTACCACACGTACCTTGAGCGCCTCCTTTTTGAGGCGGTTCATGGCGCTGAACTGCTTGATGCGCGACACCACCTCCAGCTGGATGGGCTGGTCGGCAGCACAGCCGTTCTCACGCATCCACTCGTGCTGCAGGATCTGCTGAGCCGTGGCGCGACGCTTGGGGTCGCGGACAAGCATGCGACGCACGCAGTCCTTCGCGGCATCTGCAACAAGAGTCCAGAGCAGGGCCCGAGATAGGGGCAGCAGGAAACTTAAGAAGTTGAGATGCGTTAAGTTAAGGACATGCTTTTCATGCCATTCCGCAGGGTGGAAGGCATTCTAGGATACCGGTAGCGGGGCATAGTGAGAGGTTGTTTGATGAGTGACCCATGGGTCCGCCGCGCCTCACCCGAAATGTTGGGCCAGGGCTCGCTGGAAAAGTCAATGGGCTTCGCGACCACCGCCTCGAAGATCTTCTTCTCGTTCTCGCCGTGGAAGGGCGGGTAGCCGCACAGCAGGATGTAGAGGATGACACCGCAGGACCAGATGTCGGCCTCCTTGCTGTAGGCACGCCTCAGCACCTCGGGCGCCACGTAGTAGGCACTGCCCACGATGTCGGTGAAGATCTGGCCCTCCTGTGGGTCAGAGAGGAAACGGGATCAGAGAGGGAAAGTCAAACCTCTCCCAACAGCGCAGCCGCATGTGACAAGGAGGAGGGCCCGGGCTTATTGGTAATCTCCCGGAAGGACCATGGTTCACACCTTACCCAACGGGGCTTTAGGAATACAAAACACACGAGCCGCAATCGTGTGCTCGGCCAGCCTAGCAGCCAGCCAGGTAGTAATTATTTATGCCTTGGTGGCGGCTCGTTTGGAAAGCCTGCTGCCAGCAAGTGCGCTTGATAGGCGTGCAACCCGCGTGCGATGCTTCCCATGCATGGAAACACGTTGCTAGTACATGCCGTGCAATGGGGCCTTGCTGGTGAGGGTTGCTCCATAAAGCTGCGAGCCTTCTACTGTGTTACTGCCCATCCTCATGCAAATGGAGATGCATGTTGATGCGTGTTAAGCCAAGCTAGCACACACCGAACGCCGACTTAGCACACACCGACAAGGCACCTTCCTTCTGCAAACCTAGCCCGTCCCCTTCATGCAGACCTCGCAGGGTCTGCCTCCAAGTCCTGCTACTTTGTTCTCGACGTGGGCTGCTACCAACCTGGAAGAAGGACGACAGACCGAAATCCGTGGCCTTCAGGGCAGCGTGGGACGTCCGGTCCGACAGCAGGAAGTTCTCCGGCTTCAAGTCGCGGTGGATCACGCCCATGTTGTGGCAGTGAGCAACCACGCCCACGATCGTGCGGATCAGCGAAGCCGCATCACGCTCCGTGTAGTGCCCCTTCTTCACAATCGCATCAAAGAGCTCTCCGCCCGAGCAAACCTCCATCGCCAGGCAGACGTTGCTCTTGTCCTCGTACACGCCCTGTGCCGTGAACAGGGAAAAGCACATGTGGAAAGGGCACGTGCAAGCAAGGGTAAGAATCAAACGGGCGCCATGCACACATTCCGGGCCACAACCGTACACCGTACATACGAATAGGGGGTCATGGGACCCCATGGCAAGAACGCTGCATGTTGTGCACTGGTAAACAGGATTACGGGATGTGAGCTGGCCGCAGATTGGATGAAAGGCAGCAGGAAAGGAAAAAGGGGTGACATTTTAAGAGTGTGTAGCGTACCTTGAGGCAGACCACATTGGGGTGACCCGCCAGGTGGTGCATGATCTGCACCTCCCGCTGCACGTCGCCAATCTCCTCCGCGCTCACCAGCTTCTTCTTGCTAATCACCTTGATGGCCACCTTCTCACCCGTGCGCTTGTTCACGGCAGAGTAGGTGGTTCCAAACGTACCCTTACCCAGCACGGAACCGGGCTCGTAGTCCTTCCAGCAGTCCGTGTCCGCATAGGTGGGCAGGATCCAGTTACCCGGCTTGACGTTTTTGACCACGGGCATGTACTGAGGGGCGTAAGGGTGGCATGGATGAGGGTCAAGGGAAGCTCAGTGCTGGTACAGCGAGCGGACGGACGCCTACAGCTCAGGTGGATGGGGTGGGGTCTTGGAGTGGTATTTGGGTGGCGAATAACCTACCGGGGATGTGGTCATCGCGGAAGTGGACTTGCCCTCCTTAAAGGTGAGCTGGAGCCGCACGGTGCCGCGGCCCTTCCCCTTGCGGCTAATGAGCGGCAATTCGAGTGTAGTCGTTTGCCCGGGGTTAACCTGGCTAAGCTGCACCTTCCCGCTGCCAAGAGCCACATCCCGGAAAACCACGTTCTCGTCATAAAACTGCACATGTGGGGAACTAGTTAGGTGCTTGGTCTTGCAAGGCCTGTGGTGACCTCAGCAAGGAAATGTACCTCGAGTTTCAAGTGTTGCTCCGTGGACGCATTCTTAAACTCGAACTTTTCATGCCATTGTGGCTCCTTGCCACCGTCTGCACGCGACGGGCAGGTACATGGTAACCGTTTGGCTAATTGCAAGCTTCAGAAGCACAGTACCTACCGACAATCGTCTTCGAGCGCGCGTTCTGGTCGCCGAGGGACAGAACTGCATAGGGGTCCTGGGGATGCAAGGCCATGCATTAAAGGCGCAGCGCGATAAGAGCAAACAGCGCCGGAAGCCGAAAGGCGGTCGTCGCACCTGCTTTCCCATGCCGACTCCAAGGACCCCAACAAACTCAACATCTTTAAGAAACGTAGCAGACACGACTGCAGCATAAAGGAAATCCCGAGGTGTCGGTAAGGTATATAACTTCCCAATGAGTAGGCAGCTCTCCGCTTACGCTGAACTTCAAGTGTTCCAAACTTCGCCATGTTTGCTAGCTCAACAGTAAGTATGCGGTTGTGGGTAAACCGAAGCTCGGGTGTTCTCTGGGTCTCGATCCTAACCCCAATAACTGCAGGTGGGACACGTATTGCGTACAGACCTCCTAACCCACCGTTCACAGCCCTGTTAGTCAGCCTTTCGGGTTGATGAACAAAACGCCTAAACGCCCGGGGCCCTGGGGCGGGGTGGGGCCGCCGGATGCCGTACCAGCTTCGTACCTTGAACACCTTTGTCTTTTCGTCCCCTTCAGAAAAAAGCAGTTAGCCTTCTTTGAAGGCAAACTGGACATGAACATGAAGCGTTGTGAAATTCGCGCTTCTTCCACCGCTTTTACTTTGCAATAAAAGCATTGTAGGTGCCTGGCAACTGCTTGCGCTTCCTTGCAGGTAGGTCTAGGTACGCCTGACATGTTGGCAGGTTTCTCTGTCAAGCTTGAGGTTATAACGTGTCCTGACCTACTTTCCAGGGGTCAGGGTAGGAACGGGCAACGGGATAAGTAGCGACCGATCGTTAATAGGCTATCGCACCGCAACAGCTCTGCGCAGCACAGGTGCTATACTGCTACTCCATGGGAGATAACAGGCAACCTCGCCCCATGCCCTCCCAACCGAACAGTTCCACAGCGTTTATAGGTATTGCGGCACCGGTCAATAGCTCACGTGCTTGTGTATGTATGGCACTGCCACCGGATATACGCACATCCCATTCACTACGATCCTCGCTCCAAGTCAGAAATGGCAAGCCGGGATGATGCACAACACTGGTCTGTACGGAACGCCTACCGGTATCAGGTGATGTCGTACTGTCGCCGCAGGCAAGGGAAAAGGGATCCCCCACCTGTAGCTGATAACCCCCGTCGGCACCAAACCCACGAAACCGCAACAAAGCCGCCACCACCCCCAGCGGTCTGGCCCATAATTCCCACGCATCCGTGCCGCTTACGGTAGTCGCTCGACCGCCCACCAGCACTCCCTGATCACCCCGCCCACACTCAAGCCCCTCACCCTTATCACACGGTCAGTTAGCTGTTCCCTCTTTACCCACAACCCCACATCCACAGTGCTTACTGTCGTTCACTAGCAACCCAGCCTCCCAGTCAACAAACAATCAGTCGCATCAACCCTCAACCCCAGCACCGCCCGTGCTGCCCCCAAACACACTGCACGAGGGCGACATTTGCGCCACATTGCTCGCATTCGTTACCCCGGACATCCCCGAATCCCACCTCGGCAGTCCCAGTGCCGGAAGCCCCCGCATGCCTCCTCCTCCTCCCCCCGCAGCAGCAGCCATCACCCCACCCGCAGCCTCCGCCGCGCCTGCTGCTGCTGCCCCCGCAGCCTCCTCGGGCGTGGTTACAGCCCCGGCAGCAGCCCCTCCAAGGCTCCTGGGCCGCAAGCCGAGCACCGGGGATTCGGGTTCATGGTGTGCTTCTGATTGGAGCTGCAGCTCCTGCGGCTCCATCATCAACCCCAAAGACGGAGATGAGGCCGCTTCTGATGCATCCCCGCCGGCTACGCAGGCTGAAGGCGCGCAGGCTGCGTTGGATGGCAGTGGGGGGTGGGGGGATTGCGGGGTCCGCCGTGCGGCGGCAGCAGCTGCGGACTTGGGAGTGAGCGTGGGGAAGGTAAAGCCGCCGCCGCTGCCGCCGGTGTTGCCGCCTTCCATGCGGCTGCTGCAGGTACCCGCCGCGACGGCAGCAGCGGGCTCAGCAGCGGGTAACGGGCCGCACCGCACTGTGAGCTCTATCACAGGCCGCTTTACGATGCCGCTACTGCCGCTGCTACCGCCGCCCACACCACCCTCCTCCACTGTAGCACCCCCACCACCACCGCTCGGTCCTCCCCCACTACTGCTGGCGACCGGTTCTGGGTGCATGCTGGCAAAGGCAGGTGGTGCCGCCACCACTTGAGACTGCGAAGTCACCAGCTCCTCGGGATGTATCGCACCCCTGTGTCCCGACCTGCCGCGACGCCGACTCGCCCACCAGTCTACGCCAAAGGCGCCTCGACGCTGCTGCCGCCGCCGCCGTACCTGCACGATTGCCGCCGTCGCGGCCGCCGCGCACAGCGCACCACCCACAACGGCCACCACCAAGGGCACCACAAAGCCCTTGTTGCTGCCCTTGCCCGCCCCCTCCTTCTCCTCCTCCTCCCCCGCCACATGCGCTTCTCCGCCGGCTCCTGCAGCTGTTCCGCCGGCTCCTGGCCGCATGGCACCACCGCCTCCTCCACCTCCAGAAGACACGCCCCCAGTCGCAGGAAGCACCACAGGAAGCACTACCTCCCCTCCGCTGCCACCATGCGCCCCGCCGCCGCCGTCTCTGCTGCCATCATCCCGCCCCGTCGTCCCACCAGCCCCGTCGGTACGACCATGTCCCTCGCCAGCACCAACACCATCGGCATCCCCACCACCACCAACATCTTCATCCGGCGGCCCCGCCGCCGCCGACACAACCGGCGGCGGACCCTCCTCGCCGCCGCCGCCGCCCACATCACCGTCAGCGCCGTCGTCATCGCTCGTCATCATGGTTTCCGTTGTGTACGACGCTACGGCGTACGGCAGCCCCAGTTGCGCCTGTAGCTCAGCCAGCCAGGTGCTGTTGCCCAGAGCTGCCACCAGGCGCTGTTCGGTGTGCAGGGGGTCGTCGGAGCTGAGGGACAGGGTCACCTGTGTAGGAAACACGGATGGATGGCCGTGAAAACTCATCCGTAGTTGCACACTCCCATTCCTAGCGCCACTTGCCGCGGCAGGTCCTCCGCATTCCCAATCTGGTCTTCAGCTTACCAGATGTGGTCAAGTAAGGTGTCCACTTACCGGTAGTTGTCCACTTACGAACATGGATGCCAGCACCAGCACCACCACTTACCAGCAAGGACCGCAGGCGCTGCGGCGGAGCGGCCCCAGCAGCGGGCTCAGCGGACAACCTTCGCCCCACCCCCACCACAGCAGCACCGGCAACCACACTCGAAGCAGCGTCTCGGGCTGCACGGCCAGTAGCAGCAGGTTCAGTGCCGGTTCCTGAGGGTCCTGATGAAGAACCTGCTTCTCCTCCTCCAGTGGTAGCGGAGGTGGTAGTAGCCATGCTGCGGCTGGCTGACCCTAAAGTGGTGGTGATGGTGGTGGTGGCAGCAGCAGCGGTTCCGACGGGTGGGAGGCTGCCAGGACTTGTAGCGGTGCTGCCGGTGCTGCCGGTGGTGGTGGTGGTGCTGCTGCTGCTGCTGCCGGCGGGTGTTGCCGAGAGGCTGGAGGGCAGTTCGATGGCTCCGTACACTCGAACGGCTGGCGGCGGCACCCCGCCCGCCTCCGCTATGAGGGCCACCAGGGGACTGCGGAAGCGCTGCTGGAAGTCGGCGCGGGCGACACCTGCGGGGAGCAGAGGCCGGGGGGGGGGGCAGCGGGGGACCGGGGGGGGGTAGCGGGCGGGGGAGCAGAGGGGGGCGGCGTATCAATCCTATGCAACCAGTTGCCAGGACCAGGCACCAGACCAAACCGGTACTTAACGCATCCCAATTCACCAATCCAGCAGTCCGCGGTCTTGGTCAAATATACCCCCCCCCCATCATCATCACCACCACCCACCCACCCACCGGGCAGCTCCAGTCGCACGATGACCGCCTCGCCCGCACCGCCCTGCCCCTCATCCTCCGCTGCCGCCACCGCCGCAGCCGCCCCTCCGCTGCCCCCTGCCCCTCCTCCACCTGCGCCGCCCTTCCCCTCCATGACCGCCGCCTGCTGTCCCTGCCCCTGACCCCGCTGCTGGTTGTTGCATGCGCTGGTGAAGTAAGCTGTCAGCACGGTTGTGGCGCTGGCCTGCCCCTCCCAGGCCTCCAGGGTAAGGCGGCACAGCGGGTCTCCCGCGGTACAGAGGCTGGTCAGGGAGAGGGCGCAATTGGCGGAGAAAGGGTCCTGCAGCGGAAAAGAAGAGGATTGTAAGGAAGTGTGGGGAAGCTTGCGTGGGGGCGTGAATAAAGAGAACGGAGGGGCTGATTCGCCAAGTAGGAGTGGATAGGGTGTAAGGCTGTGGGGGAACCCAGCATGGCATTGCATGGGTGCATTTAAACATCTACTGGTTAATCCGTGTGGCATGTCCCATCGCACACGATGCCATAGACGCATGAACCGCACAACACTGCGAGTTTGGTTGCCCAGGGCGAGCCCATTGGCTTGGCAAAGCAACAGCCACATCATGCGCAGCAAAGCACGCACGACACGACCCCCCATCCACAGCACGCGCAGCACGACTCGACTCACCACAGCGCAGCTGCAGTACGACGGCGCACTGACGGCCCCAGGAAAGCAAGCGCTACGAAGCTGGCCGTACAGCGTCCTTAGTGCCGTACCGCTCAGCAGGCTGCTGGCGTTGTTACCATTGCCGTACACCAACCCCAGGGAACACAGGGGATCTGTTACAGGGGTTACTACGCTAGACTCAGCCGCTGCCGCCACCGCCGCGACCGCCGCCGGTGGTTTTGGCGCGGGTGTAACCATGGGGCCTGATGCCGGGAGGGTGGTAGCGCCGAAAGTGCTCGAAGTCAACGACACGTCGTTATCAGTCGTGTCGGGCCTGTTGATACTTTTGCCATTGGCACCGGTAGTGGCGGCGGTGCTTGTGGCGAGGGCAAGGGCTCGCCTTGCCACTGGGTCGGCAACAGCGGAGGCGGCACCCTGTGGGTCCAAGTTTGGCGGTTGACGGTTGGCGGTTGTGGCTGTATCAGAGGTACGGCAAACGCTGGCGACGGCTGTACGGCATTCTACGGATCCGAGCCCCAGGTACGCGCAGATGCATGGCGGGTAGGCGGTTGGGGCGGCGGTTGGCGACGAGCCCCCGGGTTGTTGCTGCTGCTGCGGTGGGTTTGCCTCACGTTGTCGTGGGGAGGAGCCGGAGGCGGGTGGGATGAGGGAGGACTGGTTGGCTGTTGAACCCTGGACGGAGGTGGGTGGCTGCTGTGCAGCTTGTGGGTTGCATGCTCTCTGGGGGAGGTGTGTGGAAAAGTTGTGGTGGGTGAGATGGCGGTTACAAGAGGGTAGGTAACGGTTGGGTGGAGCATGTTGGGTGGCGGTGATGGTTGCAAGAGGCCGAGAGAGTGGAGAGAAGGTCGAGAGAGTCAATAAAATGGATGTTGCGGATACGTGCAGTTGAGATACTTCAGGGCTGCTAGACAGTAGAGCCACAGCGTACGGCGAGGATGGTCAGGACCGGAATAGAACAGGCACACATCAAGGCATCCCATCCGCAGCTAGGCATTTGCAGATTGCAGATTGCTGCGCCCTCGCTAGCGCGCCCGCACCTGAATGTACGGCATCACCAGCGCGTCGTCCCGCACAGGCGACTGCAGCGCCTCGCAGGTCTTCCCGGTTGGCGCCAGGCGGCACAACAGGCGGGTGGCGTCAGCGCAGCCCGCCGACCCGCGGGACCATGCACACGAGCAGATCGGACTCCTAGGGGTGGCACGAACGTAGTAACACCAGTCATTTTGTTGTTACATTACAACACAGCAGGATGGACAGTAGCTGCAGGCTGCTGGTACACGCTGCGACATACGTTGCCGTACAGACGTACGTTAGTGTTGCATGTATGTAGATGCCTATGGCCACGCAACGCCCCACTACATGCATCTAGAACCTTTAATTCTTCACCCTCCAGGATCCGTTCCAGGCTGTCACGCAAACCAGCCACCTGTATTGAGGCAGGTTCCAAGCAGATCGGTTTGACGTTCGGTTGCGCAGCGACGTTGCCTTCTCTGACTCCTCTTGCAACCGCCTGCTGCGACTGCTACTGCTACTAGCAAGCGCTGTCTTCGTACTGTGGGTGCTGCTACTATCCGGGTGCAGCAAGACCTCTCTGCCGCTGCTGCTGGCTCCAAGGGGACCTAAATGACCTGACGGGTGCGCTGCGGGGTACACTGAGGAAGACACGGGTCCAAACAGCAATGCGGCCTGCTGACGTGCTGAGGCTGCTGTTATGCACGCTTGGAGCAGCAGCAGCAGCCAGGGGAGCAGCCACACAGCTGCCCAGGTGCGGTTGATGATGCGTCGCATGGCGACCGACCCGCCGGGTCACATGCGGCCAGCTTTCACAGCCAATGTCGTGCTAAAGAGGAAGAGATACGGCGACGGCGGCAGCCTTCGGGGTATGACACGCAGTGCAAATTTATGAACATAAAGCCGTTGTAGCCAGCAATAGAGTCCCTGGAAGAATCACACGCGGTTTCAACTGGGGTGGCATGTGCGTGGCATGCGGGTACGGGCGATTTAGCGTGAGCGGGCTGGTCCCAGGGTAGGGAGCATTGGATGGTCCGACGAGTAGCGGTTGGTACGGGTTGGTTGAACCTTGAAAGCTATGTCGACCACCGATGTTCAAAGGATAGCGTCTCTACACCCAAAATCATGTCGGATCAGGCTACAGCTTACAGCCGCGCACATCACGGACGGACATTCGCGTCGCTGGTTTAGGGAACGTTCCCTACAAATTATTGTATACCGTGCGAGGATGGGTGATTCAGAACAGACGTTAGCAAGGTTCCATGCGGCTGTGGAGTGAGCTCCTCACAACGACTCGATGCAGCAGTAAGGGTGTTCCCTAACAGGCAAAACGTAGCTGTAGGCTGTTGCTTGTCTGGGTTTTGCTGCCAAAGTCATTCTCACGTGAGCGCGCCGTTAGCAATACTAAAGCAGCTTCAGTGCAAGCTTTGCTGGGGGAGGGGATGACTCTTTCGCAATGGGTCGCGATGCGAGCTTGCTTGCTGAACGGTTGCCTTTGTTTAGTGCTTAATGGGCGCAACTGCCAGGCAACTGCTGCAACAATTTTGAGGACTGCGAACTGGAATCCAGGTGCTCGCGTAGGTCCTGCCCCACGTCGTCCTACGTCATGTCGGAAGCAGGACGAGCGTTGGTCAACCTTTTTAGGAGCCTCGGAACGCGACCTCTGCAATCTCTTGCATTCCACAAGTCGCAATCCACACTACTTCAGCCTCCCCTCGCGCCTATTACCTTTCATATTACTGCACCGGGCATGTTTTCCTCACTCTTCCGGCCACTTCGCGCCGCCGCAAAGCCGCAACCCACGACGTCTTCGGCTCCGGAAAGCGCTCCGACAACCACCACCGTTCCTCCTGCCTCTTCCGCCAGCGCTGCTGTTTCACCCGCAATGGCCAGCACTTCCGATGTCGCTGCAGCAGCAGCTGCTGCTGCTCCGCATAAGATTATTGCGCCGGCCAGCGAATCGCAGGCTCACGGGTCCGACATGAAGGCTTGCATCGAGAACTGCCGTGACTGCGAGCGGGCCTGTCTGGAGACCATCCCGCACTGCCTGTCCAAGGGTAAGAGCGGTCCTGCTGGTGCGTAGAGGAAAATGGCCGCGAGTCGGAACGTACTGGATTATTGTCGGAAGATGTTATCCCCACCAAAACGCCACGGGAGACGAGGGATAGGCTGTCGTATGAATGCTTGTTTGCTGATGCGCATATATCAACCCTGTGAGCGGCGTGCTACCGGGTACCTTCTCCGAGAGGAGGCTGACGTGACCCCAGGGTCGGCGCGTGTCCGGTGATATCCTTCTGGATCTTCTTGATATAGCTTAAAAGAGCCGCATCCGCATTATCGATATCATTTCTGTTGCGGAAACACGCACGCATCCACGCATACCCATGCAGGCGGCCACCACTCCCGACCTGATCACGTCATGATGCTGATGGTGGGGAGGGAAGCAGGGAGGGAGGCGGGGGGAGCGGAGCATGGGCGTCTCTTCCTGCCTGTTTTGAATATCTAGGAATCTAGTCTCTTGGGGCCGTAGCCGCCGTGCTGCTAAACACGATCTGCAATAGATCTGCAATAGGTTGAAGATCTGCAATAGATCTGCAATAGGGAGATCTCATATCAGGCACCCCAAGCAGATTGTACAGCCAACGATGTGTGCCGCTACCGAGGAAATCCACGCCATCTAGCACCCTGGTGCTGCTCGATCCTATGAGAACTAACCCCAGCTGACCGGTAAAACGCCCCCTCCTGCCTTTCGCCCTGCCTTCCGCTCTTCCTTTCGCAACCCACAGAACTGCGCCGCCATCTGTGCCACGGCAGCTCGCTTCCTCATGAGCGGAAGCCATCTGCACGTGCACGTGTGCGCGGCATGCACGGAGGTGCGGCGGGGGATGGGAAGGAGAAGAGGGAGGGGGGTCCAAACGCACATGGAAAAGGGGCCTTTGGGAGGGGGCTGTGGAGCGATCGCATTGCATTGGTAGCAGCTAATAATGTGGATCTACGGTATTGGCGCTTTAAACTCCTCAACCCAAGAGAGCAATCGTAGCAATCCCTGGCTAGGCAGCAACCAAACAGCCCTCGAGCATTGGGAATACCAGTATGGGTTTTCCTCTTTCACCCCCTTCTCCGAATCACGGCGGGGCCTTCGTTCCCCTTCCCTTTCCACCCCTCCTTTCCACCCCCGAACGCTCGCATCGCGCCGCAGGTCTGTGAAGCCTGCGCTGAGGACTGCGAGGGGCTGATGGGCGACAGCGACGAGTGCATGCAGGCCTGCGCGGAGGCATGCCGCGCGTGCGCCAAGACGTGTGGCGATATGGCCGCACGCCGCGCCTAGGCGTCCTTATTCCTGGCGGGTTGTTTGGGTTTACGCATCCAAGCAGAAGTGGGAATTGGCCAAGCAAATCCCGGATTGCGCTGCTTCAAGCCTGCAACTGTCTCTTGCGGACTGGGAGTTGCTTGTTGGTCGCGCGACGTTTTTGTTTAGTTCTCAAGGAGCAGGGTTGAAGATGTTTTCTGTTGTGACGCATTGGTTGTTGCTGCCGCGTGATGTGCCGGAATGAAGGCGACTGTTCGCAACGTGCGTGGCACACCAAACGGTTGAGCATGAATGCGATGGTGTGGGAAGTGCGAAGGGTGGAGCCAAGTGGAGGTAGCGCACCAAAACACTGGATGACAAGACGCTGCTTGCTGGTGCACGTGTGCTATCGACACGGTTGCACTTCCGCGCAGTCTTGTAAGGAAGCGCCGTAATATATGAACCGTGGGTCTCATCACTCACCGTTAGCTATAGTTGCGAAGGAAATAAGATCTACACATGGAATATGCCATTCTCTTACTCGACGTTGGATTGGGCTTGCAAACCACGCCGGGGCCGCCGTTAACGGAGAGCCTTTTCAGTTGGCGCGTTGCTTGCGCGTTGAACAGCCATGCGTTCACATCAACACCGTAAACAGGAAACTCAAACAAGCAGTTGTGAAAGTATCTCGCGCAGCAGATTCCAAGAGCACTAGGGGTGGAGCCATGATGCAGCTTGTCGGAAGCCTTAGGACTTCCCACAGCGGCATCACAAGCAAACCTTATAACTCAGCTACTCAGTATACTCTTGCTGTAAGAGTCATCGCAGATATTTATCTCAATGTCGGCGCGTCCTACCTGTACCTGCATGGGCATGCTGTACATCGGGTTCGGGGCCCAGTAATGGTACATTTATGGCCTGAAGCCCATTATCCTCACCGTAAGCTATTATTCCAACGAGCTTTCAAGTGACGCCGACGAAACTATTCAGCGGCAGCCCTGAGGAAGAGCTTGTCATCTCGCCCGCCGAGCTTTGCTTAACTGACCGGATCTAGATTTCTCTGTAAAACCAGCAAAGAACTTCATCACTATGGCTCTGGGTCGTCAGGCAGTGCAGCGCCCGGGTAAGCGGCGAACGCTAGCGCGTGACACTGGATGGCTAACGCCTACGTGGGGTAGTTTGTTGGATAGTCTGGCGTTGCGCTCTTTAAACTACAGCCGTGCTGCTTTATATGCACTTGTTGCGCTACATTAGCCATATGCTGCTTGAAGTGAAGCTTGCACGCCATCACGGAAACTTTGTTGGGACATGCCCACGCTGTATGGAGCGTTATGGGCATGCGTTAAGGGTTATTAAAGATGTTGCATATGCACACATTATCTGAGTGCCGTTTGTCGCTTCTCCTAACTATGTCGCAGGTGCGTGCAAGCATGCTACCAAGGCTAGTCGCCGGGCAGTCACCGTCCGCGCAGCTGTGACTTCGGCACCGGAGCAGTATGTCCAGAAGCTGACTGGGCCGATCATCATGAACGGCCAGGTGCTGCACAGCCTCACCAACGAGCGCCTGGATGTGGTGCGCAGCCTTGAGAAGGGCTACCTTCAGAAGGAGGTGAGCGGTCAAACAACTTCCTTCCATTTGCAAAGAGTTTCTGGGAGGCAGGAGCCCGCCTTTTATAGTAGAATAACTTACCTGTCTTACGTGTCTTACCTCGCTACAAACGGCTTTGCTCACGTGTCTCCACGTCCGCAGGTGGTCCCGCTGCTGAAGCCCGTGGACAAGTGCTGGCAGCCCTCCGACTTCCTGCCCCGCTCCCAGGACCCTGACTTCCTGGACAAGGTGCGCGTGCTGTCCCCCAGATCTGCTTGACTAAGTAGTTGTCGCCAAAGGCGAAGCTTCCCCTCTTGTCAGCTTGCGTTGTCGTGCATGTAGCGTTGTCGTGTGTGTCACATGTGTCATACTTGCGAAACCCTAAGACGTAGCTATGTAAAGCCATCCACGCGCTTGCTTTGCTCAAACGCTACCCTGCACGTTGCACGACAAACACCCAGGATCTCCCGCCTCCCTCACCTTCAGCAGTTGCACGCGCCTCTTCGTCTCCCTCACATACCCTCATACTCTCGCGGCTCGGTACTCCAGATACCCTCATCCCGCTGCCTGTCTCTTCTTTCCTTCCTGCCTCCCTGCCTCCCCCTTTCCTTGCCTCTCCACTTACTACCACCCCTGCATCACCAGCACTTTCCCTCCGTCTCCCTCCACCACCACGTACCTCCCCCACCTCCCTTCGCCTCCTCGCCCTCACACTCACTGCATGAGTCGGGATATGGGATTGGGACTCTAGTTGTTTGCACTTCTTACATAATTTCCCCACCTTTTACCTCCTCCTCACCACCTCCTTCCCCCCCTCCTTCCCCGCCTCCTCCTCGCCCACTCACACAACACACCGGATATTCCTCTTTCGCTCCTCGCCCCACAGGTGCAGGCCCTGCGCGAGCGCACCAAGAACCTCCCCGACGACTACCTGGTCGTCTTCATCGGCGACATGATCACGGAGGAGGCGCTGCCCACCTACATGACCATGATCAACACGCTGGACGGCGTGCGCGACGAGACCGGCGCCAGCCAGACGCCCTGGGCGCAGTGGACGCGCGCCTGGACGGCGGAGGAGAACCGCCACGGCGACCTGATGAACAAGTACATGTACCTGACGGGGCGCGTGAACATGAAGGCGGTGGAGGTGACGGTGCAGAACCTGATTGGCAGCGGCATGGACCCCAAGACCGAGAACAACCCCTACCTGGGCTTCTGCTACACGTCCTTCCAGGAGCGCGCTACCAAGGTGGGTGCATGCAGTGTGTGTGTGGGGGGGAGGGGGGATTTATCAGAATAAATGTAGTTTGTGGGGGGGGGGACAGGGCAGGTGGGGTTGCGTTAGGTAAGCAACCAGCGATGTGGGTGTGTGGTGGCTAGGTAATTGCTAGCAGCGTGCGTTCGCAGCAGCTTTTGCATGGGGGTTGGGGGTTAGCTTCACAGGTGGTGGTGTGTATCGCTACGCCCCAGGAGACATGCAAACTCGGAGACATGGTGCCCAATCCGAGCGCGCTGTGTGTGCCTCCTCCTCCTCCTCCCCCCGCGCAGGTGTCGCACGGCAACACCGCCCGCCACGCCCTGGAGTACGGCGATGAGGTGCTGGCCAAGATCTGCGGCACCATCGCCTCCGACGAGGGCCGCCACGAGATCGCCTACCAGCGCGTGAGTTCGCGTCTGAGATGATGGGGGTTTGATGGGGGAATATGGGGGAATATGGGTTGGGGCAGCGTTCCAGGAATGGTGTTTTAGCTGGTGCTGCGAATGGAAAAGGAGGCAGTTGACTAGGGCAGGGCTCGTTATTTCACGACAGGGGGGGAATGCCTTTACGCTCGGTTAGTGCATGCTTGCAAACACGTACCGGTATTGGCACGCATTACGTCTGAACCACACTACAACCATTTAGTGACACATTGCTGCTGCTGCCGTACTGCAGATCCTGGACGGTTTCTTCGAGCACGACCCCAACGGCGCCATGCTCGCGTTCGGCGACATGATGCGCAAGCAGATCACCATGCCGGCCCACATGATGAACGACGGCGAGCACGAGAAGAAGACCGGCCGCAACCTCTTCGCGGTAAGCAGGAGCCTCCTTCCCTCATCTTGTCAGCATACGGGATACGGGATATCTTCCCGTATATCCCTCCCTTGTCATCTAGTTTGTCTCTATCGTTCAACACATTGTGATTTCTTCTTTCCCACCCTCCCTCCTTCCTCCCAGGACTTCTCCACCGTGGCCGAGCGCACCGGCACCTACACCGCCATGGACTACGCGGACATTGTGGAGTACCTGGTGGGCCGCTGGAAGGTGCCCGAGCGCACGGGGCTCAACGGCGAGGCGGCCGCGGCGCAGGAGTACGTCATCAAGCTGCCCGACCGCATCCGCCGCCTGGCAGAGAAGACGGCGGCGCGCCGCGCCAAGTCCAAGGCCCAGGACTCGCCCTTCAGCTGGGTGTTCAACCGCGACGTGAAGCTGGTGTAAGGTGGTTGGGATGGTGGTGAGCGGTAAGGCGGCTGGAGGTGTGCTGCTTTGGCAGCAGCAGCAGGAGCAGTTGGTGCGGTTTGGCAGAAGAAGTGCGGGAGGAGGAAGATGGGAAGGGCTTGCTGTGAGACAGTCGTGCCTGTGGGCGTGGGGCTTTGCAGCATTCTCTCGCTTCCGGGTTTATATTGCACTTGAACTCTCATGGCTATGTAGCTGCAGCGGACTTCGGGCGCTGCAAGTGAGCACAGAATCGCGGTCCTTCACCTCTAATTGGCACCGAAACAGCAGCCTAGGGACAGCGCTTGTCCGGTGTCCGGTGCGCCGCCGCGATTGTGTATTTTATTAGGGGCTGCAGTTGTTGTAGTCCGGGGCGCGTTATTGTGACGTAAAAAGGTTGCATTTAGGCGTCCCTGAGCGTTATGTTGTCCATTGGAGCTGGGGTTTCGCTCAGATTTTTGTAGTGTAGAGATGGTACCGAGGCATAGGCTTTGGTTTTTGGGCAGATGTGGCGTCGTAAGGTAGTGATTTTTGGCTTTGTCGTGGGTTATAAATCACGGCACGGTATCGACTACGAAGAATGCCATCGTCTTGCTGTGTTTTGAGAGCGTTATTGCGTCGGCTGGTTCGGGGGTCGGGCCCCGGGCATACTGCGCAAGACAGAGGAGGTCGGACTGGTAGTGGTATAGGTGCTGAAGATGCGCTGCATTTAATTATGCACATTGCCCAGGTTCATGATGGAGTGATAATTCTGGACAGTACACACTTGAACGTTTCAGCTCTTTGAGGGAGCCCCTTTTGTACCCCTGTTGACATAGACTCAGCGTTGATCCTATCCAAGTTGGAACAGCGCAGACCTACCTTCAACAATAAGCCCATTGTAACAAAGTATGAAATACTATCCTTGATTGTCCACTATGTCCCTTCCTCTTCACTATGTGATATACCGTACAACCTCGTTTCATGACATGTACTGGACCTTTCTTGGAATATCATCAGCGTTGCAAGCGGACGCATGCTGCCGTCCGAATTCGGGGTTTCGCTGCACGCCCAGCGCATGGAGATGAGCTACTATGGTCTGGTTAACTCAGAGGAATGACTGTCTTGGTCGCGGTAGTTTGCAAGCCACTTTGTTTCCCTTTCTTGTGGATAACAAACCAGTTCACATGTTATCCACAAAGTGAACCGGTTCACCCCTGTGCATCTATTCGAGGCATGCCGTGACCAGTGCTAGGGAGTGGGGACAGCAGAGGAAATGTCCAACGGAGTGCCGTTACACATCAAGACGCCGCCCCTCTACGAGGGATTAGTCGCTTAGAAGCGGAGCTTGGTGAAGAACCACCTGGAACAACGAAAGCGGGCAGGCAGGAATCGTGGGTCAGTACTGCAGCAGAAGTACTGCATCAGTTGAATGCGGTTATGTTGTGTGTTGATGGCAAACTTAGCAACACTGCCAAAAGGGGTAAGCATTTTGGCATGTTCCGCGCACGGCTTGTGACCTCCTATCATGGACGTTGAAGCTGATCATGTGCCCCCGGTCAACGTCCCCGCTAGGAGGCCATGCTGTTTAAGTTCGCTCTTGTTATGTCGCCGTCCCCTGCTGTACCCAGGAGTTCGTTACATAATGGAACGACACGCTTGCCCGGTGACTTACCGGTTCTTGCCCGACTTGAACTTGTCCTCGAGCAGCTTCTTCGCCTCCTGCACAGGGTCAAACACATCACGTAAAAAGGGTCATCCCAGCATGGCCAGTACTGTTTGGGACGCAAGCACAGGGCACCAACAAGCCCTGGCGGACTGCCTAACATACAGGTGCACGTTTTGTCAATTTGCATATTTGCGCCTGTCGACAGCCATGTGCATCCGCCTTGTACGCGGACTTTGCATCCTGCTAGCCATCCTAAAGCACCTCTCAAACCCTGCCGTGACGACCCTATCCGTATTTCCCTCTTCTTTTCCTTTGCAACGTTGCCTCTCCTCCTGACGCATGCACTAACAGTCTAAACTACTCATTCCCCCTTCCCAGCATGCACTAGTCTGTTCCCTCCACCAAACCCGCAGCCTTGCCGCTGCTCCAAACGCATGCCGCCCACCTTGCGGGCAGCAACCTTGGTGGTGGCGCTCTCCAGAGCCTCAGCAGACACCACGTTCTTCAGGTCCACGTCCAGCGTGTAGCGGGTGGGCATGATGTGCTGGTAGTTCACGGTCTTCACGAAGGTCTGCGTGCAGCAATAAAACCACATGGCTGACCCCCGGTGCGCAAGGTGGTGTGGAGATGAGGAGGGCTGCTGTGCACCAGCCACTGGAGGTAAGCTGTGTGGCCGCGAACGCGGCAAGCACGGCTTCAGGGGGGTTGAAGTGACACCGGCGCCACCCCTAACTTGACAAGCCGACCAAATGTTATCCGTGCCGGTTGACGGTTTGACGTGCCCCTGTAAATCCCCCTGCTGGCTGCGTCCCTGCCATAAGCTTAGGTTACGTCCGCGTTTATCACTTTGGCTGGCCATTAGGCTTCCCATTAATGCTGCATACTAAGCTGTTGCTAAACTCGCAGTCCGCACCTTGATGCTAGACCGGCGGGCCTGCTTCTTCATGCTGATCTTGCGGACGACCTGAGGGAAGCGATTCGCGCGCAAAGGCAGCCGGCATCAGCCGACAAAATACAAGAGCAGTCCTTGTGCCGCTCCACAGCAAGTCATAATAACTTTTACTCTATTAGCTTAATAATGCTTGCCTTCCGGGGCTCCTTGGAAAGGCCAACCACGGTGGCATGGCCGTATGGCCGCACCGACGAGCCGTCGTCCTTGTTCTGCACAATCACGGCCTTCTTGCCGGCATAACGGCCGGTCAAGATGATAACGACCTTCCCGGGCTGCAGGTAACAGCGGCAACATGGAGTCAGAGTTGCCCTAAGAGAAGCCGCCGGCGCCGATGCTGAACAGTATGTATCCTAAACACTATCCTCACCTTCAGGAACTTCACCATTTTGCCTTCCTGTCTCCGGCACTTGCACGCGAAGGAAAAGGGTTGGCTCAGCGCCGATTGGCCCAATTGTTCCCTCCTGGCTGCCGTACAGTCCGCGCTACAAATTGCATTTGCCTTCCGCAAGTCGTGAATTGCATTATAACCAGTATAAAACCGTTGTTCCTATCATTACATTATAGCCGTTCGTGTATGGGGGCGCCACCAATGGCTTTCAGATGTTACCCTTAACTGTGGACTGCCCCATGACTTTTCAAGCAGTTCAGAGGTGTCTTCTGCAGGACTTCTGTGTCTCTTTGGCATTGTCTATCCGCTTGGAAGAGTTCGCAGCGGCAGGATGTCCCTAGGGTCTACACTGTCCTGTCGCAATCTGGGGAATGACATCTGGATAATGGCAGAATAATGGGGGAAAGTGGAGCTAACGCAATTTTGTTCCGCGAGAAGTCATGCCCTGACCCCACAACCCCTCATTTATGGCGTGCCTGTGTTGCTTACCAGACGTGTGGTACCAAGCGCGCTGGGTATTGGCGTCACCAGGGAAGTTGGCTACGAAGTTAGTGGTAGAGTTCGTCGAGATCTATCATCTAACTTCTTACACTAACCCCACACACATTCGCACGGGCCCATATAGTTAGGACACCAGTTGGCATGAAGGGCTGGGGGTTAGGGGCCTGCCTTGCTTAGGGCCGCAAAGTCGGCCCAACACCACTGTGCAAGGAAAGCTTAGCGTGGCACACGTTCTCGCTGGTGTCGCGCATGCAACCCAAGTATCAAACACTCAACGACATGCACGTTGATGCACCCTGCTCTGGTCTGCAGCACTCTGCTACTCTCTGGGAATGCGTAGAGAGGATCACAAAGCAGCAATTCAGGCATACGCCCAGCCCACGCTGCCGAATGTCACACCACTCCATGCATGCTCACATCACACCCGCAACAAAAAAGCTTTCCAAACCGTCTTCTCAGCCTCTCTCCTATGCCAGCAACCCTTTCTGCTCCCTCGTGCTGCTGATTCGAGGAACGGCCCAAAGAAGGCACAACTAACGCTCCTGACATTCCAACGGTCATTCATTCATTCCAACCTGCGCCGAACGTGCTATGGGCTTCAGCAAACCCCCACGACACGCCTGCGAAGGTTAAAGAGAACCCGGGCAAACGGCCGCACGATAGGAGCTACACCCCAAGAGCCAGCAGCACAGGGTCAGTCCGCAAGCCTTCCGCAACCCAGCCGCTCTGGGCAACACATTCAATCCCAATCCTAATACCTGTAGTAATACTTGCATGGTCCTAGGCATGGTCACGTGGCATGGCCTGGCGTGGGCCCGCCATGGCCCCGGGCGGGGCTGCTGGACTGGAGCCCCGGCCCTGCGCCGCCAGGAAGGGCAGTGGTGCGTCCGAAGCCAGCGCCTCCACATTGCCTGCATAGGGCACACATGGGGGCACATCCGCATACGATCACGGAGCGAGGCCATCAAGGGACATCCGTTCCCTCCCACTTGCGCAGTTTACAGCACCAGCCAGCAGCACGGGGCACCGCATTCTCGTGTACGTTACTACCATCTCTACCGCTGCTGCTGCGCCCTGGCCGCCTAATCCCCAGAATAACACCCAGAGACCCTTTGCATACACACATCAGCAATCACAGTATGTTCCGACTCGCGGCCAGTTTTCTTAACACATCGTCATCAACCCCGCACACAACCCGCCAGGTTGCACCCGCACCACGTGTCACTGCATACCCACCTTGCAGCACCTGCCGGGGCACGCGCCCCACTGCGGCTGCCAGCGGCTCCCCAGACTTGTCCAGAAACACAAAGTGCGGCACCCCGCGGACGCCGAACTCCGCAGCTTCCGGGGCCCACTTGGAGTTGTCGATGTTGAGCATCACAAAGTTCACCTGGGTCAGGGAGAAGGGGGAGGGAAAGAAGGGGGAGGGAAAGAAGGTGCAAATGCACGGGGAGGGAAATGGGAGAAAGTGGGAAGGGTAAGAACGGGAAGGGACAAACTACGGTTTGGTGAACACTCAAGAGCGGTGGCATAGAATGAGCAGGATGGCTGGTACGATGTCAGCTCTCCTGTTGTGCACACCCCTAACTGATAGCTTTCACTGTTTTCTCCCAGCTGGTACCTTGTCTTGGTAGCGCTTCTCCAAATCGTACTCATCCGGCACCAGCTCACGACACACCTCACACCTGCAACCATGGCGTGTGCGTGAACACGTGGGAGACTTGGAAGTGAAGGTAAGAAAAACTCCCGAATTAAGGCGTTTTGTGCCACCTTCAACAGGGCCACGGCTGCCTGCGCAGTTGCCAGGACGAAACCCATTAGGGCGCACCCATCCATGTCTTGAACCATGTCCCCAACCCGTCTTGAAGCCCACAAGGGCCTACGGCCCCCCGGCCCCTACGGCACTTGCCAGTTTGCATAGAACTCCACGAGCGTGGGCCGCCCGTTGACCAGGGCCACATCCAACGGTGTGGAGAGCTGCTCCAGCGTGGCAAGCGTAGGTGCGCTAGCGCCACCCAACCGCGTTACCGCGAACAACACGACCGCCGCTGCTACCGCGGCTACCGCAAGTCCTGCATTACCTGTTTGTCCTGCCGCGGCTGTAGGTTGCGCGGTGACAACTGGCGATGCCGTTTGCGGTCCAGCCTGCGATGTAGGGTAGCCAACTGTAAAAGACGTCGCTGCTTTATTCGCATGGTTCAATTTGTATGTACCTCTTCGGAATTTTGGATAGGCTGCTGCTCCGCTCGCACTAAGACCCAGCGCCGATGCGACCTGAAAATGGGACAGCTTCGCCCTAAGCTAATGTTCCGCTGCAATGTTCCGCGCGGCTCCTATCCACGTTGTGTTACCTGGGTTTAACATTGGCTGGGACACTTTTCGCTGGCTGAAAGCAAGTTCGCAAACGCAGAGCCTGTTGCATGTTCCTTCCGCCCTTGCAAGTATACCTGATATCAGTCGAAGTATTGCACGTTTTTAGCTCACACGCACGCATAGATATATTCTACGGATGGGAGCCACCGCTCATCTAGCACCACACGAACGGCAGGTCGACGAACCGCGGGGCAGCCTACGCCTAAGTTTTATGCTTAGTAAACAGACCTTGGAGGATACCCATCATGCTATACTTTGCAATCGTTGACAATAGCTGATTGTGCTTGCTGCCTTTTCGAAGCTGTATGCGTCGGTTGTTCGAATACCAACCTGCAAGCGAACGTGCCCTGGTAGGGAGGCCCGTTCGCCGCCCTTGATGCTTTGCCCATTTCCCAGCCCCGTCCGCATAGACCACTTCCCCAAAACCGTCCGAAACCTGCCACCCCCCTTCATGCCTGCCACACACCACGGCCCACACCTGCCCGTACCTCCCACACTTCCCGTGCCCGTCCGACGCCTGCAGCACCTGTCCCGCATCAAGCCCACATCCCATAGTTTGACCTCCCCATCCCGGCACTATGCTGTTGTGTCAAGCCGTGGCAGCTCGGTTTGTGGTGATGGCGTGTTGCCTGTAATGTATGGTTATATAGATGACCCAGTTCGACAGCAATGAGAATCACTGTAAAGAGACACGTGTGCAGCGGCGTATCCTCGAGTATGAGTGATGAGCGGCAGTCGTACAATGGATCTCACCAGGCGCATCCTTGCACGTCCATTGCTGCTTAATCATACTGATGCTAATTGCCAACAAGTAAGGTTAAGGACTACTTATAGTCCGCTGTTCCTCACATCGCAAAATGCTGACGCGTCAATGCCTCGGGCAACCCGTCGGGCGCCGGCCGGCTCCCTTCACTCCCGTAGTCATCGGCCGTAGGAATGTAGTTAGTCGTGTTGGGCAAAATCCGATGTCAAATCCGCAGATGCAGGAGATGATGAAAAAGGCCATGTCGGACCCCAATTTCCAGAAGCAAATGCAGCAAATGCAGGAGATGATGAAACGGCCGGAGATGCAGCAGCAGATGGCTCAGATGCAGGCTGTCATGCAGAACCAGCAGCTGCAACAGCGCATGCAGACGCTGAAGAATGACCCCGGTGGGTACGGGGGCCGGGTTGTGAGGGAGCGAATAACACGGCCGAGTCCCGGCGGGAGGGAAGGGTGCGGCAGCACGAAAAGGGGCCAAGTTCTTCCGCACGTCAGGGCCATTTGGACATGGTCCGGCTTGTTGTACAGCTATGGACACACGTTGATGCAAACATGGTTACCGGTACTTACTCTCCATACACCTCATCCGCAGAGTTTGCCGAGATCTTTGCTGAGATCCAAAAGGGCGGCATGCAGGTGGGCCTCCCAGCGTTGACGTGAGAGCGAGGGTTGCGCCCTCTTGTAGCGCGTTGCCCTCTCTACCAGCTTTCGCACCACTTTCGCACAGCGAGGATGCGCGGCGGTTTCCAGGCCTCCAGGCGACCGACCCCTGCATTGGCACTCTTTCCCCTTACCTCGCACCACAGCCGCGCGTGGCCTCACACCGGTTCCTCCTCCCGCTTGGCTCCCTCTTGGCTCCCTCTTGGCTCCCTCTTGGCTCCCGCTTGGCTCCCTAATTGCTCCTTCCTCGCACCTCCATCTCTCCTTCATGGCTCCCTCGCCGTTCCCTCACGGCTCCCTCATGCCCCCCTCATCGCCCCTCGCCGCTGTGGCCCGCAGGCCCTCATGAAGTACTACAACGACCCCACCTTCCTCTCCAAGCTCGGGGAGAAGCTGGGAGACGTGGCACCAGGCGGTGCTGTGGCGCCAGCGGGCCCAGCAGCAGCGGCGGCAGCAGCAGCAGCAGCGTCACCTTTGGCGGGTGGCGCAGCAGCAGGGGCTGGGGCACCGCCACCGGCTCCGGAGGTCAACAACATCCGGGATGCCGCCAAGTATGTGCGCGCGGGCATGCAGTACAGAGTACACGTGGATGTGCCGTACGGTAGCAGGGAGTCAGACGCCAGAGGGACCCCAAAACCCTCCTAAGGAGAACCTGCGTGTTAGGGCAATGCAATAGGGACAGCTGGAGGCGGGGGGGGGTGCCTCACAAAACAGCAGGGGTACGGAGCAACCATAAAGCCTCACGTCTGTGTGATTGGGTTTAGGGCTGAAGTCATGGTTGGGCTGTGAACCTGTGATGGATCTCGCGCGCCGGGCACTCGTACAGCAGCAGATAATGATGTCCATGTTGGGTGTCGCGAAGGACGCCTACACCCCCTTTCTTCCCCCTGCTGCCTCTACCGTTCGGTGCTCAGTGCATGGCACGGAAGTACAGCCCCGATTGCCGCCTACTCCCACACATGCGCCCGGCAATCGCAGAACGTTCCGACTGGCGGCCAGTTTCCTTAGCACACGCGCCCATTGTCTGCGGGCAGTTGCTTTAACACACCCTTCCCTGCCCGCGCCGCTGCCAGGTACGGTGACGAGGAGGCGGTGGAGGACTTCATCGCCATTGGGAAGGACCTCAACGAGGCCGATGCGCAGGTGGGGTGTGGAAAGAAAACTGGCCGCGAGCCGGAACCTACTGTGTGTGGGGTGTGGACCGCAAACTGGGCAATAGCCAGAGACGTGGACGTAGAGACAGGTAGCGAAGCCAGGAGACGGGTAGAGCTTGCGCTTACCGGGTACAAACGCCCTCAGGGTACATGTGATGTGGGGTGCTCACCTCGCAAAAGCGTGCATGCGACCCGCACACCGTGCGCTTGCCACATGCGGGACATGCCCTGCCCTGCCAGTGCGTGTAGCAGCTAAAGCTTTTAGCGTTCCGCTAGGCCAAAGGAGCGAGGGCAACTGGGAAGGTCTGCATCTCCCGTTGGAGTCATTGGAGGCTGTTATGCCATTGTTGACAGTGTTGGACCTCCCTCCTCCTGCACGCCCCCTGCGCCCCCAGGGCCGGACCGCGCTGCACTACGCGGTTGCGTACGACCATGCGGTGATTGCCAAGATGCTGATAGGTGGGTGGGTGGTGGCGGGTGGCGTTTCAGAGATGCGTGTGCTGTGCTGCGGCGGGGCCTTATGGAGTGTGTTCTGCGGCATGTTGTGCTGCGGTGTGCCGCACCCCACCGGTGGGCTAGCTCATAGGGGCAACGGCAGGGGCAGGGGCTTCTTAGCCTCCCAACATGAGAATGGCGGAGCGCTAACACACTGACGAGTATGCCTGCTCGCCTCAACGAGTATAGGACCATGGGTTTCATTGCACGGTTGCAGTATGCGAGCGGGGACGCGCACGTCGGTTGTAAACAGGTACCATATATGCACATGTGCCCGCATGTGGCGGCACGGGGGCTTTGCAAGTGTCAGGGGCTGGCTTACTTTAGTGTTTCGTTCCATCTGCCACCCTACTAAGTACTAAACCCCCTTACGGCGATGCTGTAGACGAGGGCGTTAACCTCGAGGCGAGGGACAGCATGAAGAACACCCCGCTGCATTACGCCTGCGGGTACGGGCGAATCGAGCTAGCGCACATGCTGTTGGACGCCGGCGCTGACAAGACCGCGCAGAACAACACGGGGAAAACACCCATTGACCTGGCCAAGTGAGTAGCAAGGGTCTAGAAGGGTTAGTTAGGCGTTGTCTTACTGGGTCTTTCTTTTCAGCGGTGGCCGTGAGCAAGCTATGCGTGAGCGGGCTTCAACTGCAGCCGCGTGCTGATATGCTGTGCTTTAGCAAGCCCGGGACGGGTCACACGTGTGGATGGGGAAGTCGATCAGAGAGCGTGGTTAGGAGACTGCCAGGAAACACCGGTGTGATCGACGCCATTGCCAAAACGGCACGTTTAAGCGCTTGAATTTTTCCTGTTTTGTAGTGTTCTTCACGGGCGTAGTGCGTTGGCAGCTTACACAGGCGTCCCCGCCCTCCCCGCTACACATGCAGGCTGGACGGGCGCAACCCTGTCAATGCAGACGAGGAGCTTGTGAAGCGACTATCTCTATAGACGGTCGCTCACGAGGGGGCATTACGTTAGCACTGTGCCTGATGGGTGCAGCAAACAGCGAACATTGGTCGAGATCGGTTTACAGCCCCTCGACGGGATTTTGATGTGGAACAAGTTTTACATTATATTGTGTCTTAAGGTTAGGCAGCGACCTTCGAGAACTTGACCCTGTCGAATCTCTCCTGTCTCCTGATGGTTGAACCCGCACGGCCGAGAAGCATCGTGAGAAATACGGCAAATGCACTTCTTGGCTAAACGCTTGTAACCGTTGCTGTAAGATGATGTATATAGTTATCTATCTTTCTAGAGGAAACCCGCTACTACCCATCGTCTTAGAAGAACACACAAGGCAGGATGTTCGGCGGCTTCCCCTTCGGGGGCATGGGTGGCATGCCTGGCTTCGGCGAGATGCCGTCTCGCGGGCCTCAGAAGAAGGTCAACAATTCTCGTTACTATGAGCTGCTGGGCGTCAGCAAGGATGCGACTGTAGATGAGATCAAGAAGGCGCACAGGAAGCTGGCCCTCAAGCTGCACCCCGACAAGGGTGCGTTGTAATTACAGCCATACCTTCCGTTAGGGATCGGTTCGCTCGGCATGGCAGACGCAGCGACGTCTTCATGACATTCGCGCGGGCGGCGGGCTTGCAGGTGGCGACCCGGACAAGTTCAAGGAGATTAACGAGGCGCACGATGTACTTAAGGACCCCAAGAAGAGGGAAATCTACGACCAGGTATGCAGCTTGCGAAGAGTTTTTTTTGTTGCCATCACTGACTGAACGCGCCCCATGCAGTATGGTGAGGACGCCATCAAGGAGGGCATGGGCAGCGGCGGTGGCGGTGGCGGTATGTCCGATATCTTCGAGCAGATGTTCGGGATGGGTGGTGGCCGTGGCAGGGGGCAACGCGAGCGGAAGAGCGAGGATGTGGTGCACAAGCTGCAGGTGTCTCTCGAGGATTTGTATAGCGGGGGCACCAAGTAAGTAATCCTTAGTTTCTTGCAGATGTTGAATGTTTTTTGCTCGGGGTGTTGTGTTTGTGCTTGGTGGGGAGGTTTAACTTACGAGGAGTTCGCCTGTTGCAGGAAGCTGTCCCTGTCGCGCCAGCTGCCCTGCGACCCGTGCCGCGGCAGCGGCTCCAAGACGGGCAAGCGCTATGAGTGCCAGGTGGGCCATTCTCGATCTGCTTGTTACAAGAAATTTGTGTATGCCAGAAACCGTTAGGTGTGTTGCCGGGTTTTGGCGCCACCCTGCATCCTAACGTTTCCCGCATACGGCACTTTACCCGCAGACTTGCCAAGGCACAGGCGTGCAGGTGCAGCTACGACCGCTGGGCCCGGGCATGATGCAGCAGATCCAATCTCGCTGCAGCACCTGCGGCGGCAACGGCTACAGCACACCACCAGGTGAGCGGTTGGGGAATGTACATGGGTCGTTTAGGTATACCGATATTACGGGGACATGGGGCTTGGCTGGGCTGTGGGGCGCATGGCGATGCACACATGGTGGGCTTGCGTCATCGGCGAAAACGCATTGGTGATGTGCAGGGCGGGTTTGGTCACAAGGGACAACACCTTTTGGGTTGCTGACTTGCTGCCGACCCAAATCACCCAAGCGCTTGCCCGCTACCTACCCCCTTCCACTGCAGGTGACCAGTGCCCCAGCTGCAAGGGCAAGTGCCTGGTGGCTGACAAGAAGACCTTTGAGGTGCACATCGACGCGGGCATGAAGCACGGCTCTCGCATTGTGCTGCGTGGCGAAGCCGGCTGCTCAGAGCCCGGCCTGGCGCCAGGCGACATCATCCTCGTGATCGTGCAGAAGGAGCACGACGTCTTCCAGCGCGCGGGTGTGGATCTGGTGATGGAGCGGACCATCTCCCTGTCGGAGGCGCTCACCGGCTGCTCCTTCACCTTCAAGCACCTGGACGGGCGCGTGCTGCGTGTGACCATTCCCCAAGGTGAGCGGCTAACTGACTGTCTTTGTTTGACGGAGTTGACTCGCCCCAACCTTAGGGCGTGCTGGTTCGTCAAATACGGCTAAAAAGCACAACGAGGGCATTTGGGTTGGGACCGCCAAACGGTTGATTGCACCTTATGGAGCTACAGCACTTTACAGTGAGCGACAGTCCTGTTCTCTTCTGGTTCTGCGCTGGAAGCATAGGGCACGCGCCGATCGGGCCAAGGCATGGCGGCGTGTGCGAAGGGGGGTTGAACTCCCTTAGCTTGTGCCGGCATGTCTTGGAGCGATCACCGCTTGCCCTTTGCTGCCAACGGCACAGCGTAATATGGAAGGGGCCATTAGCTAAACGCTACCCGGACCTCCTAAGTCCATAGCACTTGCGGCACCCCCTCGTTCTCCTCGTATCCTTCATCGCAACCCCATGCTGCGTTGCAGGCGAGGTCATCAAGCCGGGGACGTTCAAGTGCCTGCAAGACGAGGGCATGCCCTTCCAGGGCCGGCCGTACCAGAAGGGTAACATGTACGTCCGCTTCAACGTCGAGTTCCCAGACACGGTAACGGAGGCGCAGGCGGCGGCCATCCGCTCAGCACTGCCCATCCCGGCCCCCGCCGCTAACGGAGGCGCCATGGACACGGATGATGTTGAGGACGTGCACCGGATCACGAACGTGGCCGACATCGAGTCGGAGCTCAAATCGCGTGTCAACATTGCAAAGGGCGTCGGCGAGAGCTACGATTCGGATGACGATGATGACATGCCGCGCGGGCAACGTGTGCAGTGCGCGCAGCAGTAAGCGAGGAGCAGCGGCGTAGCCCTGGGGGTTTTTGAAGCACACGGGCAGGATGCAGCGTCAGTAGCAGTGAATTGTGTGTCTGCCGTGGCACGGACGCTTGTTTTGGCTCTTGTTTTGCACTATGAGCTTCATTGTTTGCGAGGGGAATGGGAATGGGCGAGGGTTTTGGGAATGGGAGGAATGTGTCTCACCAGGAGTTCCTTGGGAGGGGGTTAGGGTACGAAGTGAGCTTGATAGAGCATCCAAATTTAGGTAGAATATGGCAAGGGTCAAACATGGGGCAATTGGAGGGCTGCATTGGGCGGGTTGGGGGCTCATCATGAGCGTGGCGCGGCAGACCTGCCATGAGGATTGATTGCTAGATGTTTTGGGTGTTGGTTCTCTTTTCCATGGCTTTCTACATCGACTTTGAGATGACAGTTATCTTGGTGAGCGCCTTGCGCGCGCATTTAGGACAGGTAAAGGCTCTAACGGGAGATACACATGCACGACCAGACTTTGCAGGAATGTTGGCTGGGGAAACGATCCATGTAGCCAGTAAGGAAGCGTCGTATGCCTGAGTTTTTGTGTGCGGAACATGGGAGCGACGCATTGATAGGAGGAAGCTATCCTGGCTATCTTACAATGGCCGCCGGTAACTGTACCGGCTGTGTCTCGAATGCTTGCAACACTCATGTCGTCAAGTCATCATCCTCGCGACGACAGGTCATCATCCTCGCATACACTGTTACACATGCCACATCACCGTCGTTGCGAAGTGGGGCGACGAAAGGTAGCATCATCACAGATCAGATTCGCAGCCCGCTGCGCCACAAACCCAGGGGCCAGGGCATACTACTATGTCATATGAGTAGGCGTTGGCAGACTGTCAGTTGCAGCAATAGTAGCAGTTGATTGGCAGCAATAGTAACAGTTAGATGCCCCAGCGCCGCTCAGAACGCCTCTGCCACTCTTTGGAGTTTCCGGAGTCGGAAGTACGCGTTGCGTCCAAGGCCACTCGTCTCCACCACCGCGGCACCGCTTGGTCGGGCAAAGTTCAGCCGCTGCTGGGCCGGTCCTCCCGACTCCCCGCCCTCACCGCTCTCATCCGCCTCGAACTTGACGCTTACGGCCTCCGACTCGAGCATCCTGAGGCGAGGAGGGAGGCGAACCCATGCTAGAACCCATTTCCTTTTTGATGCATTAGCACAACACGAAGGATGACGTCCTGATGTGACGCGGAAAACACATGTGAGCAGGCTCATGTGCGGCTGGTGCTGTCGCCAAGATGCTGCGGCCGGTAATGGGGCATGAACCGGCCCCCGTCGCCCTGCACCGGTATGTCTCAGCACGAGCGTTCCCATCATGCGTTCCTGCCGGGAGCCCCAACCCTCACCTCGAGCACGTCTCCCAGCTGTGCCGTACCAGCGGCGGGAAGCCAAACACGGGGTGCACGTGCTCCTTGAGCCAGGCCACGGTGGCCGGATCGCCCGGGTAGCCGGTGCCCACCTCGCCCTGCAGACCCAGGCTCTGAGACAGGGGGGGAGGCAGAAGAGCGGCAGGGCAGGGGCAAGGAGGGAAGGGCTTTTGGCGTCTTAAGGGGGCTTTTAAAATAAGGGTCCTTGAGCATTCAGAGCTGACAACCCATCTGGCAACCCAGATGCAAATTTGTAGCCGTATACAAGCGGTTTGGTTTCCCTTCCTGACCCACCTTCTGGCACTCGATCAGCGCCTTATCTCGCAGGACCTTGGCCACAATGCTGGCGGCGCTGACGATGGGGTAGCTGCGGGGCGTGCGAAGGAACACAGGCCGCACCCAGCAGACACAGCACAAGCAGCGCCGTCAGCTCATACCGCCTCGTGGCAACCAGCCTAACAGCACAGTATCTCGATTGCACAGGTTCTCAACAGCACAGGTTAGACAGGTTTTCAATTGCAGGGCGTTCCAGGGCTATTGGGCAGCTTCATGCTGACTATCGGGGTACCCCCAACTGCCCCAAACCCAAACGTTGCTAGCTGAGACAATCGGAGCATCAATGCGGGCTGGCGAGCCGGGTTCTCCAGCCCCGGAAGCAACCTCGTGGCAATGCTGGCATACACGAGCACGAGCAAACCCCTGCCCGCGGGGAGGTAAAACCTCCCTTCCTCCTTTCTTCATGAGTCAGGGTCTCTGTGGTTCCTCCGGGGTTTGGTTAGTTGGGGATTGCGTTAATGTGCTTACAGTGCATCCGCCTTGGGGCACACGGTGAAGTCGATGCCCGGGAAGGCCCGCGCTAGCCGCTCCCGGTGACGGTCCGCATCGCCCACCGTGTCCACGTAGACCTGGCGGGAGTGTGGGAATGAGGACTGGCAACATGAGTGTGGGAATGAGGACTGGCATGACGCATGAGTGTTGGAATGAGGTGGTGCCATGATCGTCGGAATTGTAAGGGTTTTGGCAGGTGTCGTGAAGCTGCTGGGTGGACAAAAATGGGGAGGTGGGGAAAAAATTATATAATTAAAACAAAAAAATGGGGAAGTGGGGGAGGACGATTAACCATGGGCCTCGGCTGGAGGAAGCGCTTTCACAGTTGCTTTGCCGCCTTGTATAGTGCATGTGGCTTCTGAAGTTTCGCTTGTGGTTGCTGTGATTGCGCGCCTCGTCGGCAGCCAAGCCCACGTGCGCGCCAGACCTGTTTGACGTTCGCTCCCGCCTCCAGCGCTACTCGGATCACGTGGCAGGTGGCCTCGAACGCGAGTGCGTTCAGGCTGACCTTATCCCTGCGTTGCGGCAGCGCCCAGGGAGGGTGCGGGGCAGCCTTTGTAAGTAACCCGAGACTTTGGTTAAGTGGTAGTGGCCAGCCTAGGGCGGCTCTCAACGGCTTTCAAGTTCGTACCGATGCTGGTCGTCAAACAGAATCCGTTCCATGCACTGTTCAACTGAACACACGCCAACAAGGAGCGTCGTAGTTACCCGTGCTACGCCATGAAGTCTATACGGCAACGCATGCCGCGATACTTCTTCCTGAGCATGTCGCAGCTCACTGAGCATGTCGCAGCTCAGACACAATACCCCTGACTGAGAAGGCCATGACCCACCTGCCGAGCATGTGGTGGCTGATGTGTTGTGCGGACATGATGTGGGCCACCCAGCCCACACCAGTGTCGGCATCAATGGCGCGAAAGAGCTTTTCGCGCGACTCGTGTGTAAGGGTTTTCGAATCCGCATAACCTCTGCGGGCCACGGGGTGAAACGCCATGTTGGGACGCGGGTCATATGCACGAGCGCATGCCAGCTAATTGCGAAACCCCACGAGCCCGTGGGCCCTAGACACGAGCACTCAGCCCTCGCCTGCGAGCCTACCGTCCTGTAATATCCGAGCTACAAGGGCAGAAGGCACTTGCATAGACCATGGGTCCCAGGACAGGGCCTCGCCCAGCCTCATCTGCAATTTATGAAGTTTCTTCCTCCTTAGCATCTGTCGAAGAAACTCCTAAGCTGCAACGAATACATACCTACTCCAAGTATGCATGGCTTGCTAATCCACTCTTCCCCTGCGCGAGTGCTGCTGACGATACGTATCCCTGACACGCAGCTTAGATCCATTGTAACGTTTTTGGGCTTTGCGTTCAATCAGTAGTAAGCTATAAACTGGTATTGGCAACTCGTCGGAAGGATGCGACGGCCATGGGCCAATTGAGGGATTCCCGCGCACAGCACGACTCATGGAGTTCAAAGTCCGTCGCAGCACATCAGATTGCACACAAGCATACACTCTTAGACGTTTTCAATATAGCACTTTCTATTGCTGTCCAACATAGTCTACGTACATTACCCTCTGGTTCGAATATAGGCTCCCGACTCTGCGCCTTCACTTGCCTTTTTGTTACCACATCTTTTGCAGTCTGCCAAAATGCTACCAAACTGGCACCCAGTTACTGGTACTTAGACTTGCGAGGCGAACGCCTGAAAAGTAGACGTTGGACTTATCACAAGACAATATGCACACGGGCTTCTCCATGCACCGCGTTAAAGTTTATAAGCTAAATGCGGAGGGACAATGGGAGGACAAGGGTACTGGGCATATCAGCGTCGAGTACATGGAGGTGCGCTCGGCGGCGGAAGGGTTCTTGACCGCGCTTTCTTGTGGACCGCTCCGACACCGCGGATGCCACTCCCTTAGCATGGATGTGCTGTACCGCTCACGGCTATGTGGTGACTTTGCTCTTACGGCCCTGCAGCAAGCGCACGCGATGGGGCTAGTGGTCATTTCCGAAGAAGAGAACGGAAAGACGCTGCTGGTGCACCAGATATCTCGGGAGGACATCTACACACGCTCTGGTGGTGAGGGTGTCCAAACGGAACAGCGTACCGGAGCTGAGCAGCAGCTGACCGCGGTCGTCGGTGTCGTTGCATGCAGAGTCCACGATTATTACCTGGCACGACGCGGAGATTTCGACGGATGTTGCAATTAGCTTCCAGGAGCAGGTTGGCTGTGATCACATATGGTGAGCAACCCGCTTCTAACTGTCCTTGCGGGCAATTTCTGATTGGGCTTTTCGTATCGTTTGACCACAGGCAACAGATCAAACAGGTGCAGCGCGAGGAGCATATGCGGCACCAAGGTACGCACTTAGGTGGTCTACTAGATCAGTTCGAGGCAGCACCTTAGCTTTGCGGTTTCGCAGATCATGAGCGCGGTCGCAAGTCCTCGGCGGACGAGTACGATCAGCCATCGACAATTGGGGGCCGCATGGGGAACGGTGGGTCTCCGCAGCGTTATGGTTGTAAACCATGCTGGTCCACTCTTACGTGCACATGTCGGCATGTCACCCAATCCCTTTGCCCGTTTCCAGGCGAATTCATGGATAGCGATTCGGATCTGCCTGCCCCCGAACGCCGCAACCTAGAGGAGATCGCAAAGGTGCGGCATGGCCGCGTTTAAGCCCTTCTATGCTGTTCCTACAAGCGGCATACTGACAGGTCGTTGGTTTGCATGTGCATGCACAGGCGCTAACCCACCTAACGCCCCTCCAGAGGGACCGCGTAGCAGCTCAGCTCTTGAAGCAGAACTACCTGCCGGCCCTGTTGGACCTGTTCAAGGTGAGGACATGTGATCGGCGCTGCCGCCCCGCACATTCGGGTACTAGGCAAGCACAGTGGGTGCTGGGCACTGAGTGCAGGGTGCAGGCTGACACATGGGGGCGGGAGCCGGGAGGGTCACGAAAACACGGCATGCCAGCCACGCATGCCATGTTAAGGACCGGTCTTGGAGGACAGGCACATCTCAGCAACGCGCCATCACCGCAGCGCGCCACTCCGCACTGCCACTCTGTTTGCCACGGCTCGCTTTCTTCCTCCGTCTCTCCACCTCACCTTGCCGTGCCCCTGTCCCCATGCAACAACTGCCGGGCTACCTGCACACAGCAATGCGAGGATTTGGAGGACAGCGAGGGGCTCACGCACATGTATGCCATCGTGCGGGGGGCCATCATGTTGAACGACAGCGGGCTGCTGGAGGAGATGCTGCGGGAGGAGCATGTGATGGACGTGCTGGGGGCGCTGGAGTACGACCCGGATGTGAAGCAGCCGCAGAAGCACCGGGAGTTCCTGCAGAGCCAGGTGCAGTTCAAGGTGAGGGTTGGGCTGCGGAGGGGAGGGGGCGCATGGGGCGGCATGATGGGGTGAGGGGTTTGGCGATTGAGAGAGGTGCATGGTGGCATGGGTCTGTTGGGGTGATGTGGTTGTTTGAGTCGCGATAAAAGATACTGACCGTGGCCATGCATGGGATGGGGTGGGGGCACCAACCCAGACGAGGTGGCCTGGGGTGAAGAGCCTGGTAAAGATGGGCACCGGCTGCACCATGGGAGCCGTGTGTGGAAGAGGCAAAGGGGGCGAATAGTAGTTATCTAACGGGACGCCGGTAAGGCGGTAAGCTGTGTTGGCACACGCACGCATGCATGGACCCTTCCCCATGTCCCGTCTGTTGTCCCGCTGCCGCTGCCGTTGCAGGAGGTTGTGCCGATCTCCAACCCGCAGATCCTAGCAAAGATCCACCAAACCTACCGGATACAGTACCTGAAGGACGTCATCCTGCCCAGGTGAGCCGCTTGTCAGCGGGTCTGTGGCGGGGAAACAACGGGGTGAGGAAGGCCGCCCTAACACGTCCCTCCTCGGAGGCACGACAGGCGGGCACGTGGGTCGGGTTGGGCTCCTGGGTGCCGCCCGGGGGCACGTGAGGAGGGCTCACAGCGCAGGCTTGGCACAGCACACGGCAGCACAGCACGTGGCAGCATAACACAGCACGCAGCGCATCCACGTCGCATGCGATTACAGCCGCTGGGGCTGCTGCGGCCCCCGAGCGGTCCCGCACCGGCCCCTAGTGGCCCAGGCTTCACGGGAGGAGTGCGGCCAGGCGATGCAGCAGGGCGCATGGATAGAAATGTCCGTTGTCGTCGGGGTGGTGTGTCATTGCTGGAGGTACCGTATGCGCAGCAGCTGGATGGCAGGGTGGGCGGCTTGGTGTAGCAGTCGCAGCCAGTGTCAGCGCGGGTCTTACGGATGCAGGCAGCGATGCAGTGGAGAGGCAGAAGCAGTGGTGGCGGCCATGGGAATGTGCGCGCTAGCTGGGTTACGGCGTGAGCTGCTGCTGCGTTAAAGACACAACAGCGCTGCGCGTAACGTGGAGAGGGCGTGGCGAAGGCGGAGAGCAGCTTCGAAGCACAGCCGGCGCGTCCTGTATAAAGCAGTGCCGGCTGTGCAGCACACCGGAAAGTGCTGCTCACGCTAGGACTCTCCATGCGTGGTACTACAACCACAGCAGCAGACCAGCAGCGCCCCCACCTCCCGCTGCAGCTGCTTCCAGCAGCCGTGCCTTGCTCCTCCCCTCTCCACCACCACCAACCCACCCAGCGCCTCACTCCCCCAACCCGGCGCCCCTCTGTCGTGCGCCCCCCCCTCCCAACCCCCGCCCCACAGGTCCCTAGATGACGCCACCTACGCCACGCTCTCCTCCCTGGCGCTGTTTAACAACATGGAGGTGGTGGGGGCGCTCATGTCCGACCCCGCCTTCCTGCCGCAGCTCTTCCAGCGGCTGCAGCAGGCGGACACGGGGGACGTGCAGTGGCATGACCTAGTGGCGTTCCTGCAGGTGGGGGGGGTAGTGGGGGGGGCGGGTGAGCGTATGGTGTGGGGAAAAAGAAATTCCAATGTGTGGTGTGGTGGTGGGGGGTGGCAGGTGAAGAGAGGCACTTGGGTGGGAGCAGGTGAGAGTGCGGGGGCTGGGAGGGGGCGGGTGTGCGCTATTGGATGGGGGCTGATGGTGTTGTGGCATGCGGGGGTGTGTGGAAGCCGGCTGGGCGGGGCGGGGCAGTAGCGAGATGCCATGCTGTTGTTGGCGGCATGGGGAAGCGTGGGGAAGGCGGGGCTGTGAGGTCAGAGAAGCCACTGCGTCGCCGTCGTTGCCCTGACCTTTAGGGGTTCCAGAAGGACAAGCCGCCTGGTTATGCTAATGTGGCGTGGGCGCATTGTGTAGACGCTGAACAACACACGGGTCGCACACGTCGTGCCACGTCACACCGTGCCACTTTACGTAACAGCATGATGCTTCATAACATGCGGCGCCACGTGGGATCCCGCTCTGCCTTGCAGGAGTTTTGCAGCCTTGCGCGGCACTTGCAGCAGCAGCAGCGGGCGTCGCTGTTCTCCCGACTCACACAGCTCGGGCTGTTCGAGGTGCGAGCACCTGGGGGGGGAGGGTAAAGACTAGATACCAAACCACAGGAAACGGGAGAAAGTTACGGCAAAGCATTGGGTATAGGAAGCGGCAGGGGCAGGGGGGCAGCAGCGAGGTGTCTCGAGTCGCGTTGGGTGCTTGGGGGAACAGGGGAAGCAGCAGCGGCAGCGAGGTCTGTGGTGTGTTGGTGCCGCGTTGCCTAAGACGAATCACTACAAAGGAACATACGGGAACAATGATACCACAGTACAGCGTGAAGACACTGTAGGCCCCCAGTGGGTTTCGGTTTGTCATCAAGGGGGCTTGGGGTTACGGGCAAAAAGCCCTTGTCCAGTCGTGCCTCAGGGGCTCCATGTCGTGCGGAGGCTCCATCTCAGGGGGGCTCCATGCGGGGCAAGGCAGTGTGCAGTCCTGTCTCAGGGAGCTCCATGCGGGGGATCACTAGAAAGGAACATATGGGAAGAGCGAGGGGGCCTCCAGAAGAGGATCGTTCAGGGGCTCTTTCAACCACGAGTGCTGTGCTGCTGCTAGACTGTCTAGAGCCCGTGGGCGGGGAAGACCTGGATCCCACATTGGGTTTCTCCCTTTCCCTGTTGCGAGCTTGCTCCTCTCCCGCTTCCCCCCTTCCCTCCCCCCCCGCAGGTTGTGACGCGCATCATGCTCCACAGCGGCACCGAGGTGAAGCTGCGGGCCACCGACATCCTCATGTCCTCCATGCAGCACGACGTGCTGGCGCTCCGGGAGTTCCTGTACAAGCAGGTGAGGCCGAGTGGGGGGGTGGGAGCGCAGGTGGGGGTGGGGCAACTAGGGGTGTTGGGGGGGGGGAGCGCAGGGGGTTGGTGGGAGCGCAAGTGGGGGTGGGAGCGCAAGTGGATCAGGCAGTACGGTATATGGAGGAGGTCCCAAACCAGCAGCTGCGTCGAAGCACGGGGCCAGGACTGGGTCCCTGCTTGCCTGGCTTCTTTTGAACGTGACTATCGCGCCGCTGGCGCGTTTTGTTCTCAGTGCACATGCAGCACAGTGGCCAAATGACAGTCTTGTGCTGCCTTGTTGACTTGACCCTCCCGGCCCTCCCTCCTCCCTCCCCCCCCTCCCTCAGTCGGATCACACACTGTTCGGGCTGCTGGTGCACGAGCTGACGGACGGCACGGATGCGGGGCTGGCGGAGCAGGTAGGCAGCGGGGAAGGAGGGGAGGGGGAGGAGGGCCCTGCAAGACGTGGGGGTACTGCTGCTGCTGCTGCTGCTGCTGCTGCTGCTGCTGCTGCTGCTGCATGACGGCGTCAGGGGGCGTCAGGGGTGCACCCGGGACGGGAGGGCCGTTTCATACCAGACCAGTGCGGAGTTTCCATCCCCATCGTCGCGAATCCCCACCGGCTTCTCCTCCGGCCCCTCACCGCACCACCATCCCGCCTCCTCCCGCCTCGGGATATGGGATTGGGACTCGTTGCAGGTGGCCACTTGGTGGCCACCCCGCCCGCCCACCCTCCCCCCACACATAACCCAACAAATTTGACTACGCGCAATCCTGAAATCCAGCGTAATGCGGAATCTTCATCCCTATTAATCTCACCCTCCCCCCCTCCCCAGGTGTGTGAGGCGCTGCGCCTTCTGATGGACCCGGACACCATGGAGCAGCCGGTGGAGAAGAACGAGTTCCTGGAGGTCTTCTACGACAAGTACCTGGACCGGCTGACGGGGGTCATACTCAGGTGGGGGAGGGGGACAGGCTGACGGGGGTCATACTCAGGTGGGGGAGGGGAACAGGCTGACGGGGGTCATACTCAGGTGGGGGAGGGGAACAGGCTGACGGGGGTCATACTCAGGTGGGGGAGGGGAACCGGCTGACGGGGGTCATACTCAGGTGGGGGAGGGGAACAGGCTGACGGGGGTCATACTCAGGTGGGGGAGGGGAACAGGCTGACGGGGGTCATACTCAGGTGAGGGAGGGGAACAGGCTGACGGGGGTCATACTCAGGTGGGGGAGGGGGACCGGCTGACGGGGGTCATACTCAGGTGGGGGAGGGGGACAGGCTGACGGGGGTCATACTCAGGTGGGGGAGGAGAACAGGCTGACGGGGGTCATACTCAGGTGGGGGAGGGGAGGGGAATAAATGAGGAGTGCAATAACTCTGGTAGTGGAGGGGGGGTTTAAATGGGGTAGATATTCCGTATTAGGTTGGACTTCAGGATTGCGTGGTGAAAGGGTGGGAGCAGGGCAGGGCAGGGCAAGGCAAGGCAAGGCAGGGGGGACGACGAGCTGTTGGGGGTTGGGCTGTGTGGTGTGTCGGCCCCACGCACCCTTGCATGCAAGAGCCCCCATCCACTGGCCCCCATGCAGTTGGGCTAGGGGACTTGATAGGGCTCTAAGTGCCAGCATCCAAAGAGACGCGCATGGACCCGCGGCCCCTGACCATGTGGGCCATACCCCTCGCCTTTGCACGGTCAGCTTCTGCTGAAGCGACATTGTCGTTGCGTCATTGTTGTGGTGGCACCCGTGTAGGTGGGGTCGAGGGGTCGCGACAACGACCTCTTTGTGTGCCACTCTCCACTCCACCACCCTACCTGTGCGTTTGCCCTCCCACACTAGCTTGTGGCGTTTGCCCCCTTGAAACCCCAACTTCACCCTGCCATGCACCTCCCTTTGCTCTTCCTTTTAACCTCCCTCCCTACCCCCACACGCCACCCCCCCCCCCCCAGCGACTCGAGCATCAGCAGCAGCGGCACCCGCGCAGTGCCCGCCTCCACCCTGGGCCTCATCCTGGAGCTGCTCAGCTTCTGCGTGCAGAACCACTCCTACCGGATACGCTACTACACGCTCCGGAACCACCTGGTGGAGAAGGTGCTGCGGCTGCTGCACCGCCGGGAGAGGTGGCTGGTGTGTGCTACGGTGCGCTTCATGCGGGTGTGTGTGGCGCTCAAGGAGGACTTCTTTACAAGGTGGGGGTGGGGATGGGTGGGGATGGGGTGGGGGATAGCCGAGGTCAGGCCCGTTCCTTGGGGCAAAGGCTGTAAGCGTTCCTCGCCCCCCGAACTCACCTCTCTCCTTCCAACTACGGTTTACTTTTTATCCATGTATCATTGCCAGCCCATCCACCCTCCCTCTCCTCCTCCCTCCCCCCCCCCCCCGAATGGTCTCCAATGTCTTGCCCCAACCTGTGGTTTCCTATGGTTCGGTACGGTCTTTGACCCCCTTCACCCCCCCTCCTCCCCACCCCCCTCTCTAGTTGTTTGCATTTGTTATGTAATTTTCCTCCCTCCCTCCCTCCCCCCCGAAAAGGTACCTACTGCGCCAGAACTGTTTCGGCCCGCTGATGGTGGTGTTCTTCGAGAACGGCGAGCGCTACAACCTGCTCAACAGCGCGGTGCTGGACCTGATCGAGTTCATACGGCGGGAGAACATCAAGCCGCTGCTGGACCACCTGGTGAGGGGGGGGCTGGGGGGGTGGCATCCAACATGTAGGCTCCAACATGCAAAGAAGCGGGGAGGGGGGAAAAATTAAATATGTGAAACAACGAGGTGTCCGGCAAACGGAGGGAAGGGAGAGATGAGAGAAGCCAATGAGTAGCCGATGGCTGCTGGGGGAAGGGGTGACGGCTGCTCGCTTAGCATGAATGAGAGGTGGCGGGTGCGTTCCTGACCTCAACACACGAGTGTGCCCACGTGTACACACATGGCTTGGGTTACACATGCATGCACGCTTGCACACCTAGCAGTATGTTCCTACTCGCGGCCAGTTTTCTTAACACCTAGCCCCTGATGCGCAACACACTCGCTTACCTTTGCTCGTGAGCTGTAGTGGCACCCAGCCCTGGTTGCTCGGGCGTTACAACATGTTCCCTGCATGTTCAGGTTGAGAACTACGGCCACCGCTTCGACGAGTTGTCGTACGTGGAGACCTTCAAGCAGCTGCGGCTCAAATACGAGCAAGCGCCGGAGCGAGCAGGCAGCGCGGGGGGGAACGGACCACGGGGGGACGAGGACATGGCGGATGCCTCGGGTTCCGGAGCGGGATCGGCTGCTGCTGCCGCCAGCATCCGCGGGCGGACCTACGTGTTCCCTGCGGCTGCTTCAGGGGCGGGGGGCGCGTCCGGCACCCCACATGGTCGGGCGGGGGGGCAGCCGGGGCATGGGCGGAGACGGCGGCGTGACGAGCGGGATATGGGTGAGTTGGGCGTGTCTGTGCCACCGTGTGACGGGGTGTGGGCGGGCAGCAGCAGCAGGGGTATGCGGGTGGTTGGATCGTACTGTACTGGTTTCCGGGTCCATTCTTTGGGGAAACGTGGTATGAAAGCTGTGTTATTCGCATGGCGGCAGCAGCGCTTGTTGACGGCCCACTAGGGATGCTTTACGGTAGTGTAGAGTAGCAACAAAGGCTCGCGTGAAAACACATTCTGGGGCCTGTGTTAAGTTAACTGGCCGCGAGTTGGAACGTACTGTGATTGCCGGACCATGAAGTCCTCCCCTGTGTGTATGTGCTTTGTACGTGATGCGCCGTACATAACACCCGTACAACACCATTACGACCCCTGGCTGGCGATGACCTGTCCGTGGCTGTCCTCTCACCGTGCGCCCGCAGATAAAGACGAAGAGGACTACTTTAGCGAGGATGCCGACGACGAGCATGAGGACGTACAACGGCCACACTCGCTCCACCAGAATAGTGAACGGGCGCTACGAGACGACGGCGGCAGCGGCGGCGGCTTCAGCAGCCAGGGGGCTGCAGCTGGGGGGTACGGAGGCAGCGGCGGTCACAACGGGGGCGGACATGGTGGCAGCATGGATCTGGGGTCTCGCAACGGCCCGCGTGTGGGGGGCAGTCAGGGGGCGTCGGGGGCTAACAGAGGGGGGAGCGGCGCGGGGGCGGAGGAGGCGGATGCGGCGCAACGTGGGGATGGCGGTGGGCAGTCTGCGGCTCGAGACCTGGCACCGCATGGGAGCGGGGCTGGCGGGAATGCGTCTGCCAGGCAGCCGCAACAGCAGCAGCAGCAAGAGCAGTCTGCAGCAGGGGTGTTGCCTGGGGGGCAGCGGCAACAGGAAGCGTCACAGCCATGGCCAGGTCTGGTGGATTATGATGATGACGATGAGGGGATGGTGGCGGGTGCGGAGGCCGACACGCAGCAGCAGCAGCAGCGAGAGCCGCAGCAGCCGGCTTCTTGCGTGGATTCCTCGCCCCAGCAGCAGCAACAGGATCAGCAGCAGCAGCAGCTACCAGAGAACGCGGATGGGCCGGGGAATGGGACTAGTGCCGCCGCGGCGGTTCATGTTGCCGCGGGTGATCGGGGTCCCAGTGTTGATTTGGGTCGGCGGCCGCGGAGTGAAGATGATGAGGGGAAGGCGGGGCTTGGAGAGGACGAGGTGTTGGGTCAAGAGCAGCGAAAGCGGCTGCGAAATGACGACCCGAGTGCAGCTGTCGGCAGGCGATAAGTGGTCGTGACGCCAGGACCCCGTGTTTAGTAGCGGATTATTGGGAGCGGATACGGCGGGGCAGCGCCCGAGTTTTAGCTTGTAAGAGATACCAGTAGTGAAGAGGCGCTTTCAGCTGTGAAGGAGGGTAGAATATGTGTGCATGTATGCTGAGGTCTGAGGTTTAGTAGGAAGCCCCCATGCATCCCGCTTACCCAGGGTTATATAATGACCGATTCAGAACCGGAAACGGCCGTATGCGCAGCCGCCACAGTTCGCTACTACTGCATTGGCGGAGTGGGGACTGTTACGAGTATGTTGCTTAGCAAGGATAGAGGGGCCAGCTGCCCCCAGCGCCTTGCCGTAATGCGCCGGAGCGCTGAGGGCTATAAGGAGCGGTGAGGTTTTCAACCTGCAATGTGGCGTCATGGTCCGAGCTTGCCCCTGTTCAGGAAGTGGTTAGATGCTGGTAGGGTGGGGTGATGCTGCTGCTAGGCCTGTTGTGCGCTGAGGCTTGTGTGTTCGCAGGGATAGAACTGAACGTTACGCATGTCCTCTCAGTGGCGGTGAGAGTGTGCGTGCATCCTCAGGAGCGAGGCGCAAACACCATTATTGAACCCTCGTTACACGAATACCACAGGCTAGGAGTGCTGTGAGGACGCGTTTCCCAGACCGCTTGCAAAAAGTACGGATATGGAAAGAAGCTGTTCTGTCCCTTGTTACATGTATGATGATCTGCTGCGCATGCATCCCGTTCGTGTTTGAATATGCAGCGGCTGTTGAACTTCCCTCAAAGCCATGGGGCACCAGACCTGACGAGAACACCTGATGAGAACACGTCAACGTCTAGCTCACACCAGGAGGGCATGGGTGCATGCCTCTTGTAACTCTCTTGACTGGTACGGCTGTCAGATTGACACCGCTTTCACTGTGAGGAACGAACACCAGCAAAGTTCCGCTTGGCTACATACCCCTTAACAAAGGCTAAAGTACAAAAACCATTGTAAAACAAACAAACACATGGGAAGAGATATGCAAAAGTCCGTATATACCAGGTATGGAAAAGCTAAATTACACAGCACGATATCTACATTGCGCAACCAAAGTCAATTCGTTCTTATCTACAACAAGGACGGGTGCTCCTAAAGCTCCATCACTGCAACACACAATACGTACTTGCACGCACACTGTTGGTGGGGACATCACCTTCCGACAATCCAGGACGTTCCTACTCTTAACATCCTGCGGCATGGGCTGGTGACAGGGATTGGAGCTCATGTAACAATCCCTCAAACGACACACGACCACACCATGAAGTCATACATGACTACCATCCTTGACTACCGTTCTACAAAGTACACAGTCCAGTTGGGCTGCTGGCACTCATCAGGCAAACAGGAGCAGAAGGGCCCAACAGGTAGCTACACGTCAGGCTTAATGGGTCTGAAGCTAAACAGGCAGGTCGCACGCAATATGCGCCCTACATGCCCCTGGTACACCCATGCAAGTCCTCACACACACCCCAGCCTGCCTGCGCACAGCCTTCCACGGATCTTCTCCCCTATCATACACCCACCCACAAGCCTCATGCACACACACTCAGGTACCAGCACCACAGATACCCTGAAGAGTGCCTTGGGGGAAGCTCAGGGCAGCTCCTCCTTCTTGCTTCCCTCTGTCCCCTTGCTCTCCGCCAGCTTCTTGACAGCCTTCGGCAACGACCCGTGGAACAGCTTCAGGCGCAGCTCCAATGCAGTCTTCTCCAGCTGTAGCTCGAACTTCTCCCGCTGCAGGCGCCGCACCTCCTCGAGGTTCTCCCACCTCAGGCGATGCACCTCCTCGAACTTCTCCCGCTGCAGGCGCTGCTCTTCCTCGAACTTCTCCCGCTGCAAGCGCAGCTCCATCTGCCCTTGACGCCTTTCAGCGAGCGCGTTCGTAATCCAATAGCTAACCGCCATTCCCGCGACGACCGCACCTCCCACGACTGTCAGCGCGCCGGTGTACTTTTGGTTTTCCTCAGGGGCCTGCAGGAACCCATTTGGATTGCTCTTGTTCGTGATTTGTGCGGCCCCGCTTCGTCCGCCCCGGACCCTGCCCAGGAGAAGCAGCGAAGGGCGCGTTGAACGGCAAATAGCATTCATTTTTCATACGCTATCGTAGCAGCCTAGATTGGTGGAGTCAAGGAATGTGAGCGAACGTCGAAAAACGCGGGTCCGCCTAAGGCCTGGGCGAGTTCAGATGGGCCCGATGGACGAGCAAGTACGAGCTGCTTAGATCGTTCACCCCAAATAGACAACCAATTCCCCCTTGAAAAGCGCATTAGATACGTTAGGATCGGCTCTATTTATGGAACGTAAGGAATTTTAAAAATGCTTCGTGGTACAGTGGACATTGCTTCCATCGGGGGGTCTCCCCAATTAATGCCGCTTTACCAGGCTATACAACTACTCTGCTACACTGTTGTAATAAACTACTGGCAATGCTTATACGATTGACTCGTGCTGGACATGGCGCTGTACTAGTACTAGGCTCTGTGTCCACTGAAATTAAGCAAACCGAAAAAGTAATTAACCAATCAGCATAACCTTTGAACGTTTACATCGAAGGATGTTGTTGTAAAGCGCTTTAGGAGACGTTTGTCGGAAGTAGAATTTGCTCGTCCATCGGGCTCATCTGAAGTCGCCCAGGCTCTAGGCGGACCCGAAAAACGCTGCTTTTGTACGGAAGCGGTTGGTGCTCCTGGCGCTCGTCAATGAACCTGGCAGCGCAAGGTTGCGTCTACTGTATAATATTCAGTGCATCCAAACTATGTTGCAGTGCATTACCGGAAAGCTTGCCTCTCGGAAATCCCATGTCCGCAACTAATTATCAACCCTTTATATTGCGCTGAATTATTTGCGCAAAAAGGAAAGTTCTGCCGCACCGGACCCTGCCGGGGGAACATGTCACTACCAGCGACACCGCGGCTGAGGTACGTAGTCACCCAAGCTCAAGGAATGACTCGTAACCGCTCCCCCAAGGAGACATGTTGTTAAGCTCGGCCCCAGCCCGTTGCGTCTATCTGCTGGTTACTCAGCCGGCATGCAACTTAGGAACACACTATGCAGGGCCAGCTGCCCCCGTCACCTTGCCGTAAACGCGCCGCAGCGCTGAGGGCTATAAGGAGCAGTACGGTTTTCAACCTGCAATGTGGCGTCATGGTCCGGGCTTGTCCCTGTTCAGGAAGTGGTTAGATGCTGGTGGGGTGGGGTGATGCTGCTAGGCTTGTTGTGCGCTGAGGTTGGCGTGTTTGCAGGGATAGAACTGAACGCTACACATGTTCTCTCAGTGGCGGTGAGAGTGAGTGTGCATCCTCGGGAGCGAGGTGCAGACACCATTATTGAACCCTCGTTACCCGAATACTACAGGCTAGGAGTGCTGTTAGGACACGTTTCACAAACAGCTTGCAGAAAGTACGGATATGGAAAGAAGCTGTCCCTTGTTACCTTGTATGATGAGCTGCTGCACATGCATCCCGCTCGTGTTTGAATATGCAGCGGCTGTTGAACTTCCCTCAAAAGCCATGGGGCACCGGACCTGACGAGAACACCAGATGAGAACACGTCAACGTCTAGCTTACACATGCAAGGAGGGCATGGGTGCATGCCTCGTGTAACTCTCTTGACTGGTACGGCTATCAGATTGACACCACTTTCACTGTGAGGAACGAACACCACTACACCAGCAAAGTTCCGCGGTAATCTACGGTCAGGGTCAGTGTTTCCGCGGCTCAGTTTATCTAATACCCCTTAACAAAGGCTAAAGTACAAAAACCATTATGAAACAAACGGACGCATGGGAAGACATTTGCAAAAGTCCGCATATACCAGGTATGAAAACCCTAAATTACACAGCACGATAATCTACATTGCGCAACCAAAGTCCATTCGTTCTTACCTACAACAAGGACGGGTGCCTAGGGGTCCTGCTCCTAAAGCTCCATCACTGCAACACACAAAACGTACCTATCCCGAACCTATCCCAACTGCTTGCTCCTGTTTCCGCTCAACTACACACAATACGTACCTGCACACACACAGTTGGTTTCCACACAGTTGGTGGGGACATCATCTTCCGACACGGACGTTCCTACTCTTAACACGCTGCAGCATGGGCTGGTGACGGGGATCGCAGCTCATGTAGCAATCCCTCAAACGACACACGACCACACCATGAGGTCATACATGACTACCATCCTTGACTACATTCCTACAGAGTACACAGTCCAGATGGGCTGCTGGCACTCAGCGGGCAAACAGGAGCACATAAGGGCCCAACAGGTAGCTACACGTCAGGCTTAATGGGTCTGAAGCTAAACAGACAGGTAGCGCGCAATGTGCGCCCTACATGCCCCTGGTACGCCCATGCAAGTCCTCACACACCCCCCAGTCTGCCTGCTCATAGCCTTCCACGGATCTTCTCCCCAGTCATACACCCGCCCACACACCTCTATGCACACACTCAGGGTACCAGCACCGCAGGTACCCTGAAGAGTGCCTTGCTTGGGGGGAAGCTCAGGGCAGCTCCTCCTTCTTGCTGCCCTCTGTCCCCTTGCTCTCCGCCAGCTTCTTGACGGCCTTCTGCAATGACCCGTGGAACAGCTTCTTCTCAAGCACCTCCCGCTTCAGGTGTAGCTCCAATGCAGTCTTCTCCAGCTGCAGGCGCCGCACCTCCTCGAACTTCTCCCGCTGCAGGCGCCGCACCTCCTCGAGGTTCTCCCACCTCAGGCGATGCACCTCCTCGAACTTCTCCCGCTTCAGGCGCAGCTCCAATGCAGTCTTCTCCAGCTGCAGGCGCTGCACCTCCTCGAACTTCTCCCGCTGCAGGCGCCGCATCTCCTCGAGGTTCTCCCGCTGCAGGCGCCGCACCTCCTCGAAATTCTCCCGCTGCAGGCGCAGCTGCATCTGCCCTTGACGCCTTTCAGCGAGCGCGTTCGTAATCCAATAGGTAACCACCATTCCCGCGACGACCGCACCTCCCACGACTGCCAGCTCGCCGGTGTACTTTTGATTTTCCTCAGGGGCATGCTGGAACCCACTTGGATTGCTCTTGTTTGTGGTTTGTGCGGCCCCGCTTCGTGCGCCCCGGACCCTGCCCATGAGCAGCAGCGAACGGCGCGTTGAACGGCAAGTAGCATTCATTTCTCATATACGCTATCGTAGCAGCCTAGATTGGTGGAGTCATGGAATGTGTGAGCGAACGTCGAAAAACGCTGCTTTTGTACGGAAGCGGTTGGTGCTCCTGGCGCTCGTCAATGAACCTGGCAGCGCAAAGTTGCGTCTACTGTATAACACTCAGTGCATCCAAACTATGTTGCAGTGCATTACCGGAAAGCTTGCCTCTCGGAAACCCCATGTCCGCAACTATTTACCAACCCTTTATATTGCGCTGAATTATTTGCGCAAAAAGGAAAGTTTTGCCGCATCGGACCCTGCCGCGGGGACTTGTCACTACCAGCGACACCGCGGCTGAGGTACGTAGTCACCCAAGCCCAAGGAACGACTCATAACCGCCCCCCCGAAGAGACCTGTTGTTAAGCTCGGCCCCAGCCCGTTGAGTTTACCTGCTGGTTACCCAGCCGGCATGCAACTCAGAAAAACACTATGCCGTGCAAATACTCCGCCGTACACAAGATACACGGTCAGTAACACCAAACTGCACACATCTAGCCAACCTCACAAGGGGCATACAGCATGATAATTTGCCTAAGGAAACACATCACAGGACAGGAAATTGCACAAGCCTAGTATTGGGCGGCTACATCTTTCTTACAAAACCCGCGCTGTTTCTCTGTCACCGGCCGCAACGGCTGTCCGCATCATAGCCGGCGCACTTCACAGGGGACAACAGGGCGGGATTAGGTTAACTGAGCCTCAACAGGGCGGGAGTTACATGGCCACGGACGTTGGGAAGGAAGACGACGTCTCCGCCTATTGACAACACCCCTTTGCTGGGGGTTATCACTTATCAGCCATGGGCCTGGAGGTTCCCCAAGCGAAGCCATCAAATGATGTTACGCACTACATCGCCACGCCATCGCCCCCTCAACGACATTGTGCGTTGCAGATGGGTGCTGGAAGGCAGTCCAGGGGCACCCCCCCATGGCGCCAAATAGAGGTTCACCCCATACCATACACATTGACCGATTAAGTCAACGGCGGTGCCGGCATCCAAGGGACAACAACCCTCACTGCCTCACCCATATAATGCAGGCCCTGGCGTGACAGTTTGTACCAGTATTACTCACTGGCAGCAAAGGCAATAGCTATCTTTCATTTACATAATACATTTGAGCGGGGCTCAGTGCTGCTAACACGGAACGCCACTGAGGACTGCAGCGCATCAGGACAAGCTCTTTTGCGTTCCAGGACAGGAATAGCTGCCAAACCGTTGGTTTAAAGGAGCGTCCATGAACTTGCGCGCAACGCATGCGCCATTAACCAGGTGGCAAGAATGTGGTGAGCGCCAGCAGGACAGCTCATCAGCAGGCTGGACTACCCTTACCGGTATCAAGGGTTGACACCAGTCGAGACACCAAAGACACGTGAAACTGGCAGCATTCATAACGTGCGGTACGCTTCTGTCGTCCCTCACGACCAGGATATCAGAAACAGTCACGGAGGCGCTCCAGCCCGGTGTGCATTCAAGCCTCGAAGGGGGCCCATGAGCAGAGCACTACTGGTCATGACAGGCCCGGGGAGGCTCCAGATCACGTACTATCACTTCACTAAATGGCCACGCCGGCTATATAAGGTTGCCGCTCTCCCTCGCATTATACCGCTGTATGCAACCACGTTCGTTGCTCACAGCGACGGAGCCATGCTAATCCAAAGCACCGTAGGGACTTCGTGCCTACCCGCTAAAAGGGCGCATCTGCCCCACTAGGACATAATAGCCATTACCCCTGTTTCCAAGTCACCTGCTCTATTGCTACACCCATGATGTATAATCTACAAGCTACCGTGCCTTTGCATAAGCCAGTTCCCGACCCATATCCAATCCACACCGAACCATATGTACAATCGAGCTGGGCGCGCATGATCACGAATAATAGGGCTACCCGCCTAAATACCTAATACAAAACTGCACTGCTGCCAACCACGAGACTACCCATCACAAACCTAACCTCCCTCCTCACGCCCCTAGCTGAATCGTTCGCACCGCAGGCGAGCCGCCCCCTCGTAACCCACTGGACGGCCTAGAACCGCCCGTTCGTGAGCCTCCCCACTGGCTGCCGCCGCTGCGGCCGCTGCGCGCGCTGCCGATGCTGCCCTGCGAGCGAGCTGCCGAGCCCGGCCGGCTGCCCGGAGCTGAGGGCGGCAAGCTACCGCCGGAGGGCAGGCGGATGCCGGCTGCCTCGCATGCCTCCAGGAGGCCGGCGGAGGGGTTGGAGGCGGCCAGGGCCTTGAGCTCTAGCAGCATGGCCCGCGTGACGTCGCGGACCTGGGGGGGCGGGTTCCGGGAGGGGGATGGGAGGCAGGGGCACACGTGCGCGGGGACGAGAGGGAGAGAGGGAGTGGAATGTGGAGGGTACGGGTTGGGTACTTGTGTTGCTGTACTGGCAACCGCAAAAGACCGCGCTGTGCGGGAGACCGGGGTGCAACGGGCATGATCGCAATCCGGACGGCTGCTCTTCCACATTGTCCATGCATGCACATGCGCAACTGTCCCGCCTCCGCACACATATAACCACCACGCCACCACACGCACCTCCGCTAGCTCAATGTCCTGCCCCTGCGGACTGTCCGCGATGCCCAGTCGGTGGCGCAGCCGGTCCGTGCGCGTCAGGGCGCGCTGCAGCTTCTCGCGCTGGTCCTCCAGCTGTCGTACCTGAAGGAGAGCGGACATACACACGACTTCATCTTCCGGCAGTCACAATACGTTCCGCCTCGCGGCCAGTTATTATATTACACACGCACGCACATGGTCTCAGTTGACCAAACACACGGGGGCTGCATGGGAGGGGGGCAGAGAGAAGGGTTCGTGCATAACTGGGTGCTGTCAGCACAATAGGCCGCTCGTGCATCTAGTTGGGGTGTCGGGGCGTGTGGGTTAGGGTTGGGGTTCTGGGTCGGTGTGGTGAGGCGACGTACACGGCTGGTTGGCTTCGGCTTTTACAACAACTGCTGTAACGCGTCACGGTAGCTGGAGCAAGAAGGGGTTCCTGCACGCTTTTTCTGTCGAGGTGTCAATAAGACGCCACAGGCACTGGTAGGGCACCATGGGGGCCAATGAACCCTAACCATGCAGCAGCCGCATACGCCTCCCGCGTCCTCCTGCTCTTCCTCCCCTCAGTTGATCCCCTCCCCTCGCCGCATCCCGCCCACTCACCGCCTCCGTCTTGCGTCGAGACATGTCGTCCACAAGCGCCTGCAGCGACCGCTGCTCCTGACCCAGATTGCCCAGCCGCGACTCCGCCACCTGGATGTCCCCCGCGATGGCTGCCTCGTCAGCTCGCCGCGCCTTCAGCTTGTCGTACGCCTTGTCCAGCTTCTCACGTAGCGCCGATCGCTCCTCGAACGCCTCCTTGCTGCTCACCTGTGAGAACAGCAACAGCAGACACAGCAAGCAGTCAAGACTCAAGACAGCAGCAGTCAAGACTCAAGACAGCAGCAGTCAAGACTCAAGACAGCAGCAGCCAAGACTTAAGGGGTATGGTGGTCAGCAGGATACCAGGTGAGCTCTGTGCCGTGAAGCCCATATCTCGATATCAGCAGCAAGCGCAAGAACACAAGTTAACACGGCGCCCACGAGCACGCGCCATGACACAATCATCACCAACCCCGCCAAACAGCCCACAGCCCCAAACAAAGACATGGGTGCTGAAACACGCCCCACCGACCCATGGGTCACTGCGTCGCCCACCTTCTTATACGAGTGCGCGAAGTTGGTGTTACACGCCATGAGCTGCGCCACCGTCGCCTCCAGCGCCGCCACCTCCTTCTCCGCCACGCGAATCCGCGCGTCCAAATCATCCCCCTCCCGCTGCAACGCCTCTCGCTCCTGCGCCGCCTTGATCACGAAATACGCCTGCGTGCGCTCCTCGCCGTCATCGTCCTCGCTGGCTCCGCGGTTCTTGGCGGACACGATTTCAAACTTGGCTCGCAGCTTCTCGCAGCGCAGTAGGCGCTCCTTGAGCTCGAGTGTGATGCGGTGCACATCCTCTCGAAGCAGCCGCAACTCCGCACGCAAGCCGTCCCTGAGGATGTGCGATGATGGAAGTAAGTTGGTGGCGAGGCATGGTCATGCCCACGGGTGGTGGATGAGTGGCATGTAAAAGGCGTCGCTTTTCAGAGGATGAAGAGAACCCCCACGCCCACCACCCCTCCTATTCCCACTGCTTTGCCCTAACTTGCGGTCTCCTATGGTGTGGTACCGGTATGGCGTTCCTCCCCACCCGCTCCTCCACCCCACCTGTGCACCTCCACCTCCTGCTTGCGCTCCTCCATGGACAGCGCCAACTGCGCTTTGCGATTCTCCAGGCTGAACACCTCGTCAGCATGCGCGGACAGGATGTCACGCAGCCGCTTCACCTCCAGCGCCAGCACGTCGTGGTCCACCAGCGCCTTCTCGCGCGAGTCAACTGCGGCCTTGACCTGCGGTTGGTGGTGGGGGGAGGGGGGGTGTAAGGGGTGGTGGTGGGGGGAAATTTGTATAATGAATGCAAACAACTAGAGTCCCAATCCCATATCCCGACTCATGCAGTGAGTGCGGGTTGGGGTTGGGGTGGGGGTGTGAGGGGTGGTGGGGTTAAGGGGCAAACTGAGCCGCATGAAGTACCGACCGTGAGGAGTGGGGGTAGGTGGGAGGAGGGGGTCAGGAAACCAAACCACAAGTGAGGGCAAAGCAAGGGTGGAGGGCAGGTGAGCAGCATGCGTCGTGGGGTGGGTGGGAAACGAGAATGTATTACCATGCTGTGGACGAGACATGTGGCGTAGTGGGAGCGCCGGACAGGGGAGCAGCAGGCGGGGCGTCATCGGTGTCATGGGTGGGTGGGTGTAGTGTCCTTCTCTTTCCCCTCTCTAAACCTAACCCCAAGGTCCCCAAACCTCACTCTCACCTGTCGCGCCACCATGTCATTTTCCAGCTTGAGCGTGGAGATGGTCTCATCCAACTTGGCCTTATCCGCCCGCAACGCCGTGTTTGACCGCCTGGCAGCCAGCAAATCCTCCTCCGCGCGCTTCACTTGCTCCAACAGCATGGAGTGCTCCTGGTTCACGCTCTCCAGGATGCCCGTCAGCTTCTCAATCCGCGCGTTCAGCGCCCGCGTCTCCTCCTCGCTCCGTACACCGCCCGCGCGGGCCACCTTGCGCTCCATCTGCTGCAACTGAAACTCCACATTGTACAACAGCTCCTGTTGCCGTACGACTTGCTCGTCCAGCGTATGGATCCGAGCTGCCAGGTTCTTATTCTGCCCCTGTCCGCCGCTGATTTCGCTGATGAGCTCACGTTCCTTGGTTCGCAGCTCGAACAGCACCTGGCTGCGTTTGTACTGCTCTTTTTTCAGCAACTCGTGCTCCTTCACGACTGCCTTGAGCCGCGCCTCCTCGCCGCGACGCATGGACTCCAGCTCAGCTGCCTGGGGTGGTGGTGGTGGTGGTGGTGGCGATGGGGAGGGGCGAGGTTGGGGTCAGGAAGAAGCCACAAACCATGTGAAGTTGGGGTGGAGTGCGGGGTGCGGAAGGGTGCATGCGCAGGGGCAGGGTGAGGCGTAGCGAGTGGGCACATGAAGCTGTGAAGGACGCACACTAGGCGGTGAGCGATGCGGTACCGTGTTTCATTCCTCCACACCGAACGGTCCCAGCGTCCTCCACAGAGCACAGCATGAAGCCCACCAGAGTTAGCGAGCCCAATCTCGAACCCCCCCTTTCCTACCTAATCACCATGTGCCCTATCGCATGCTTAGCCCCTTCCTGTCTACCCCTGTCTCCAACCCTCTCTGTCTCCCTCTTTTACCCGTCCCCCCCCACCCAACGTTGCTGCACTTATCATTTATTTCATTTATTGTCACCCACCTTTGCCTCCATGGAGTCAAGGTTGGAGAACTCGGTCTCCAGTTTGCGCTTCAGCACCGCGAAGCGCTTGCGGGCTGCATCCAGCTTTTGACTGCGAGGGACGCGAGGGGAAGGAGAAGAGGGGAACAGGGGAGGTGGAAAGGAGAGGTGGCAACAGGGGGCCGGCACAGTGAGGGTGAGCATAGAGACACTTGGGCAGCAGCGCAGCTACCGGTTGAGGCTCGCCTCTTGCCCCCCATCATCAACCCCACATACCTCCTCATCCTCGTGCTTCATTCCTCTCCCTCCATTCCCCGACCGTAAACAGTTCCCCCCACCCACGGTTAGTTTCTTACTCATTACCTCCTACCCGACCTTCTGCACCCACGGCCCCCCCTCCTACCGGAAAAACATACATCCCCTATCAGTTCCTCCCCCCTACCGCTTGTGGTCCAGCTCACATTACCCCTCTTCACGGCTCCCCACCCGGCCTGCTCCTCCTCCACCCCCGTCCACCCCCCTACCGCTTGTGGTCCAGCTCCTCCCGCGCGCCCCTGTTCTCCGCGGTGCGCTGCGCCAGCTCCGTGGCGGCCTTGGACAGCGTGGCCTTGATCAGCTCAACCTGGGGTGCGGGTGGGGAAAAGAAGAATACCCAATGTGGGGGTGGGGGGCGGGGAGGGGGAGAGGAAATGTAGGAAAAGCAGGAGTGGAGCACCGGAATCGCAGGTTTCTCTCTCCTCCCATCCTGCCCGCGCCCATTCTGGGTTCTGGGTTTCTTCCTTCCACCTTCCACCCACCTGACTATACGCAATCCTGTAATCCAGCCTAAGGCGAACATTGTATGCCTATTAGCCCTGGAGTTTCCTTCCTTCACCCACCCCCACCACATATGTTGACGCCTTATCCCTCAGTCAGTTAGTTGTTTCCTCTTCACCCCCCCCCAACCCCCCCCCACCTGGTTTGACAGCTCCTCCTGCCGCACTTGCTCGCGGGAGAGCAGGTCGCGTTGCTTGCCCTGGGGGGAGGTGGGAAGACAGGGCATGGGAAGAGTGGCGAGGTTAATATTAAGTTGCTAAAATTATACAAGGGTGAGCAACATCGTTGCAAGGTGCAGTGGTAGAGTGGTCCGCTATATCCGCTCGCTGCCTCGAAGCGGCCACTCCTATGCTGCTTGCCATGTACCCAAATGTGTTGCAACCACAACAACCCGCTTCCTTTCCTACATACAAAATCCTATCGCACCCGCTCCCAACCCATCGGCACCGCACCTCCCATCCCCTCCCATCCCACCACCCCTTCCTACTCGTGCAACCCCCAGCCCCCATGAAGCAATTTCCGGTAAACCACGGTCAGGGACAGTGTTTCCGCGGCTCAGGCTACCTAACCCCCCGCCACCCAGCCCCCACCCCCGCACTCACAATCTCCCGCTCGTAGTACGCCACCCGCGCATCTGCCTCCTTGGTGTTGAGCACCTCATTCTCCAGGAACCGCGCCTGCGCGTCCAGCTCCCTCTTCCGCTCCCGAAGCACCTCCTTCTGCAGCGCAAACTGCTCCGAAGCCGCCGCAATGGCCACGTCGCGGTGCCGCATGGCCTCCACCGCCTCCTCCCACTGCCGGATGAGTTCTTGACGCTCCAGGTGCAGTTTGCGGAAGTCCTCGGCGGCCTTGTCGAGCTGGATTTGGGCAGCCTGGGTCTCAATGACCTCGGTGTCCAGCTCATCGCGACGAGAGACCACCTGAGGGGGGGGCCGGTGAAGCATGGGGCGGTGAAGCATGGGGGTGTGGGTGGGTGGGTGGCGGAGGCGGTGGCGGGTTGGGAAGGGGTCAGGGAGGAATGGAGCGTTGGGGAAGCATCGGTTCCCTGGTGTCTTCTCAACACCACTACCCCCGGCCCCCGGAACCCCCCCCTTGTCCTAGGGCAACTCCAGTTGCTGCACTTCACACATTTATCCCCCCCTTGTCCCCCTCCTGTCCCCCACCTGCTTCCTGTTTCCTCTTCACCCACCTGCTTGCTGACTCGCTCCAGCACCATGGTCAGCTCCTTGACCTTGGCGTCGTCCGCGTGACGGTACTTCTCTAGCGCGGCGTTGTCCTCGGCCTGGAGGTGGAGGGGGGGAGGGAGGGAAGGAGGTGAGGGAGGGAGAGTGGTGAGGGACGGGATGAGAGAGGGGAGAGGTCAGGGGAAAGATGGGAAGCGGGTGTGATTCTCATTGTGTCCCTGTGAGGGCTCATTGGAGCTAGGAACCCCTAGCTCCCTGACATGCATTCAACCCAAGAGTCGTGGCGGGGCATGCACCCGTTCTAACCCCACCCCACCCCCACCCCCCAGCTCCACCGCCGCCACCCCCCCTTCCATAGCCTCCGCCTCCCTCAGTTCCTCGAATCCTCCTCTGCCCCATTCCCCGGAACGGAACGGCTCTTGGTTTCTCCCTCTGACCCCCACCACCCCACCACCAGTCCACCAGAACACCCCACCACGGGCTGGCTCACATGTTGCAAACCATGTTGACGCCTTATCCCTCAGTTAGTGTTTCCTCTTTACCCCAACACCCCGCCACCCCCACAACTCGCCTTCTGCCTCTCCGCCAGCGCCCACTGCTCCAGCTCCTCCTGATTCCAGTTCATGAGCATCTTGAACTGGTCCAGCTTCTCGTTGTTCTTGTAGATCTGGTTCTGCAGGCTGTTGATCTTGTCCGCCAGCTCCGCGCGCTCGGAGGTCAGCTTGGCCACGTCCTTGCGGATGCGACCCTGTGGAAAAGGGAGGGGGAAGGTAAAGAAGCGTACAGAAGAGACGACAGCAAAAGACACCGACTTGTGAAGGACAGGACAGGACAGGGTGGAAGCCCGCGGTGAATGCTCTCCTGACGGGTGTAGAGGGGTGTGGGTGTGGGTGGGTGTGGGGCCGGGGAGCTAACGCGTTATGTGGTTGGATGTGGGTTTGAACGCAGTACCAGGTTGGGGTTGGATAAGATTGGAAATAAAGCCAGCCGGTGCGTCCCAACGAGGCCCCAACCAGGAACTACGAAAAGCCCTTGGGATTGGTTGGGGAGCAGCGTGCGTGGGTCGTGGAGTGTCCATTCCTCTCCCCCAATGTGCCCCGCAACCCTGGCAACGCCCGACAGCTCTTGCTTTTCCGGCGGAGGGAAGCACCTCTACGGACCACATGACAGCCTCTGCGGGCACTCCCTGATTTGGGTCTTATGCTGGCTACGAAACCTGTCCCTCACAACACCTGACCCAGGTGCTCTAGAGCCCCATATATAGCCTTTTGCGTCTCTTGCATCGGAGGGGCCTATATTCCAGGAGCCGTCCGGACCCCGGTTGCTTATGATGTGGGTGGCCCATGTAGTGTCCCCGTGTGCCCATACACCCAAGCGGGACAGGAGGGGCTAGCGGGCGCTCCCGGAAAGTCTGTTCACCGGTCACTTACCGCTTCCCGCTCGGCCATAGAGTTGAGGTGCTTCTCACTCTCAATCTCCTTGTTCTTGGATTCAACCTGCGCCATTGTTGGAACAATGATGCTTCGGTGTCAGGAGCCCAGGTGCCAGGTATTTGTGGTGCACCAGGTGAAGGGGGCGGGGGATTAAGCAGTACCAGCTAGGACACCCACCCGGGTTTGCGTGTACTTGAGTTCCTGCTGCACATTCTTCAGGTGTTCATCCATAATGTGCAACCTGTCGAGGTTCTGCTCCAGGGCGCGGTCTGTCCGCTCGAGCTTCCGCTCCAACCTCTGCACAGGAATTGACCCATATGTGTAGGTGGACTCCGCAGGGGGAACTCTGGGCGTGAGCGGTTGATATGCCTACCGCATTTTCCACATACAGCTTCTCGTTCTCTGTCCCCCGAGCGAATGGGGGCAGGAACGACATGTCCACTTCCTCGTCATCATCCGCTAGCTCCTCTGCGCGAGTTAAGAGGTTGTTGCAGTGAGAAAACTCCTCCGGGCCGCTGCATTACATGCAAGCTACGCATACCCTCTGTCCGGTAAGGATCAATGTTCGCCATGATGGTCTGTAAGCTGCCCGAGGCAGCAAAGCCTTCTTAGCGCTCAGCACCTAATCTTTGAGTAGACAACGCTTAGAAAAAATCGAATTGCAGTTCTAACAAGTAAGTCATAGCAAGAGTGCTTCCAAGGACACAACAGTGATGAACCAGCAATAGTTGGTAAGCACCGAGTTGCAACTATAGAACAATGCCGTACCTTTGTACGACGACTTTCCAGGCGAGCGTCAAAGGAGCTTTGCCCTCCGAGGCTTACCCTCTCACTTGGCTGTGCCGGTCTGCTAGCGCGTGTAAAAATGCCGTTCAAGCGCTACGTTGAGATTGGCCGTGTGGCCCTCATCAACTACGGCCCCGAGTGCGGCCAGCTGGTCGTCATCACCGATGTGATTGACCAGAACAGGGTGCGTTTACACCGACTATCAGCGAAGTTGCGATATTTAGGAGAGCTAGAAAGCCCCGGCCGCCTCTGCCGCCGCATTGCCGCCCTCGTCACCTGGTCTCGCTGTTCTTACCATAATAAAGAAAGGATCCTTCAAACGTATCGTTTTCGTGCACGTAGGCTCTGGTGGACTTCCCTGACCAGGAGCGTCGCGTGGTGAACTTCAAGCGCCTGGCTCTTACGGACTACAAGGTGGACATCAAGCGCCACGCCCCGAAGAAGGACCTGAAGAAGGCCCTTGCCGATGCCGGTAAGATTGCTAGCTGGTTTCGGGTTTGCCCATAAGTAGGTGGGCGGCGCAATGCCATTGGTTCTTGGCGCGTAGTCAGTATTTACAGTCGGTATAACTATTTGTGAAAGAAAGGAAGGATGGGTAACTTATGGTTACTATAGAAACTCTAAATGGCAGCGCTTCCCTAGCGAAGCACGGACATCTTCAGCACGGACCACAGGGCTAGCGTAGCCTTCCAGCATCCAGAACAGTTATTTCCAGCTCTAATCCGGAGCGTACTGTCCAGCAGCTGGTGGCCATGGCTACATGCCGCTTTCAGGACGCAGGCGGTAGCAGTGCTGCCGGAGCGGGGCCTCTTCTGCAGCGGCTTTCCTTATGCTGAAGGGGACCACATGATACAGCGCAATATCGCAGGGCCCATCCAGTCCAGTGGATGGGCTTGGAATCAGGCGGCCGCAGCAGCTACAGCTGACGGGTGTTGCTTGCGGCAGCAAGGCGAGCGTTGTGGGTGGCCGGCACCTGCCGCGTGTTGGCGGTGGCTGATAGCAGCATCAGCGCTCTTTGCGGTTCTAGTGGAAGGCAGCGTCGGTACCGGCTGGATATGCAGAACCGACGGAGGAAGCGGGGCTCACTAGATGCTGCGTGTATTTCTCGCATATGACGGTCAACACCAGCGTTGTGACAGCTTTCAGCAGCAGCATGGACATGACATTGTAAATTCAACAGCAAGAACAGTCAATGGGAACATAGCAGCGGAAGCAGGGGAGGGGCGATTAGGGCGTGGGAAGCCAGCCACAGTCGACAGGAGTGAGCACGTCTCTGCTACTTGTGAACTATGGCGTGTTTATGTTAAGGCCTAGATGCTTCGTCGGGATGTCCATTGGATTCGGATGCACCCCCCCCTTTGCTGCGGTTGGGGTTGCTTGTGTGCCCCTTATAAGGCCGCATGGCCTCCTACCCATGCAGTTCACTGTTTTGCCCTACCTTTGTGGTTTGGTTTATTCTACCCACGCTCTCGAAATGTCTCTTGCATGGCCGGCCGTTATCCAGTTGCCCTATGCTCCCGCTAGTGTCAAACCCTTTCTTCTAACCAGACTGGCATCCCCCGCAATCACAGCCATGCCTACCCTCCTGCCCAAAACTCATTTCCCTCCCCCCGCTCCTCCCTGTTCCCTTCCCCTCCTCCAGATGTGGTTGCCAAGTTCCAGGCCTCCTCCTGGGGCCAGAAGCTGGCCAAGCAGTCTGCCAAGGCTGACATGACCGACTTCGACCGCTACAAGGCCGCCGTCGCCAAGGCCAAGAAGGCCCGCGCTGTGCGCAAGGTCTTCAACAGCCTCAAGAAGTCCGCCAAGTAAACACGACGTCTGTAACGCTGTGATGTGAGAGACAATCATGGTTTTACGGATCACGTGTTTATGCACACAGCGGATATGGCGTTGCAGCAGCAGTGGAGCACAGCAGGGGCAGCAGAGGCTCACAGTGGAGGCATATGTATGCCTGTGACGAGGGGTGGATATGGCCGCAGAAGGCGTTTTGCTGCGGCGAAAGCGCGGTGAAGGGGCTCCGCGCAGCAGCACGTCTGGGGCTTTTGGCGAGCGGGGAGTGTTGCTGTGGTTGTTTCGCCCAACCATGTGTAACGCGAACCAAAAGAGCAAGGCGCCACTCGCTGTTCATTGCGTTCTTGGGGTTTCGGAGCGGAGTATTGAAAGGGGGTGGTGTATAAGGCAGCTGAAATCCAAGGCAGCCGGTATTCCCACAACTAGTATAAGGCTTGAAGCAGCCGGATCTTCAGGAGAGCAGAGCCAGCGTTAACCCATTTAACATAATCACGTTAGGGCAGAACAGTTAAACCTCGGCGTCTTCATCATGGGTGTTAGGCAGAGACAATTCCATTTACAGCCACCAACATCGTTCCTTTGTTGCAGCCAAGGACTTGGAGCAAGATACCTTGGCCGTAACGTTGACGTTCACTTCCCGCGTTACGGGTTCGTCCTTTCAACACTCCTGACTCGTACTCCCTAGCAGCACGTCAGCTGCTAAGCCACAGCAGTAGCAGGATCCGACAACGTCCCATCTTTCCTTGCAACACATCTCTCCCCCATGCATTCAAGCCACAAGTCATCCCCTGCCCCCTGCGTAACACTTACTACGGTAGGCACACCTGCAGGAATCATCTGATATAAAATTTTGTTGCCCGGCCTGCCAACCACGGTCCGTCAACAGCTGTCGTAGCGTTGCCTCAGGAAATACACGGTCTTGCAAATTCACGGTCTTGCGAATTTCCCAACAAACAAACAAACCGGTCATCCTCAATGTACAAAGAGGCAAAAGCCACCTGCCATTACCGTACTACGACACCCATCACACCCACGACCGTACATGATACCCACTACCATACAATCCGGTACATACCAACCTCCAGGAACGAACCCCGGTAACCCCAACCTGCTTGGACCCCAGTAAGCAGCAGCGGCAGCACTAGCGGGGGCCACGTGTGCATGCATGCTTACGTGTTGCCGAGCCGCGCCGCGCCTTCCCTCCGCCTCTTCTGGTTTCCCCCCTCCTCACGGCCATGTGACACGGTTCGTTAGCCTCTTCCTGTTTACCCCTCTTTACCCCTTTCACTGCACGGGGGTTTCACAGCACGGTGGGGTTCACAGCACGGTGGGAAAGAAGTGGCGCTGCATGGTCCCCAGTACGGCGTCCGCGTCCGTACGGAGCGCCGCGAAATCCAGGAGCTCGGGCACGTTGCGGTGGCTCTCCACTGCTCGCTTGGCTGCAGCCTGGGGAGTCAGGAAGAAAGGAGGAAGGGAGGAGGTAGAATAAAAGACCGGGCTAGCCTCATACGTTAGGTTGGCAAACCTAAGGCGGGGGGAAGAGGGCAGAGCAGTCCGGAAGCTGCGGGGCCATTCAGAAAGGAATGCGCCGGTTGTTATACCTCAAGTACCGATTATACGAGCCAAAAATGAACGGCACACTACCGTACAATGATCAGTAAATACCGTACAGGCGGCCAAACTGACTCGCGCAGGCAAGGTTAAGGTCAAGGGTAAAGGCGCTTTACCCCCCTCCCTCCCCCCTGCCGTACGACATCCCAGCCCTATGACACCCCTGTCGTACGACACTTCTACCCCTGTCGTACGCACCATGCCGTACGCCAGCGCGTGAGCCGGCGGGTGCTGCTGCAGCAGCGCCGCCACCATCCCCGCGACCAGTGTGTCTCCCGCTCCGTTCACGCTGGCCACCTCCGCCGGCAGCGCCCGCAGGTGCGTTACCTCCACCAGCTGGTGCCTCGGATGGGGAGGAGGAGAAGCCGCCAGGGGGGGAGCAGGAGGGGGCGACACGCGCATTTGCATGGGCTGCAGCTGCTGCTGCTGCTGCTGTTGCTGTTGCACCGGCTGTTGTTGCACCTGCGGCACCGGCACCGGCTGCAGGTGCTGCTGCTGTTGCTGTTGCGCCGCCTGCACCGGTTTGCTGGGTGGCGGCGGCTCCACAAAGCAATGAGCGTAGCAAGCCGGTGAGCTGCACTCCACCCAGTCGTCTCCTTCGTCTTTTGCTGCTGCCGGTGCTGCTGCGTGACCGAGATCTTGATTCGCCGTAGCACCTGCCGTACATTCCGGACGATGGTGGCCTTCCGGTAGCCGGCTTGCATTGGCATGCTGCAGGGGAGCGCAAGGGGCATCCGCCCCCGCCGGGGCTGGCTGGCAGGCGAGGTGCGGGTTGCAGCTGGTGGCAACACAGCAGCTGGTGGCTGGGTGAACGGGGACGGGGACGGGGACGACGGGAGCAGCTGTGGGTTGCATGCCCGGCGGCAGTCGCTGTTCCCCAACTCCGGCGCTGGTGCAGCTCGGGTTGCATGTGCAGCAAGCGGTGGTGCCGGGGTTGCTGCCAGGGTGATGGTAGTGGGTGTTAGGGCAGTTGCAGCTGCTGCTGCTGCTAGCAATGGCGAGGGAAGCGGTGACGGTGGCGGTGGTGTGGGGGGTGCTGCAGGCGTCAATGGGCTCCAGGGGCGGTCGCGGCGCGGCGGCGGCCGCCGTGTTGGCGTCGCAAAGGTTAACGAGGGCGGAGCCGAGCGACCCAAGGGTTAGCACCACGCACGAGGTTCCTGCAGTGGTAGTGCATGAGATGTTGGGGGTCAGGGCTAGAAGGCGCAACAACAAAAAGCAGCACTAAGCGGGAATGGCATGCACCACCACAAGTAGACCAGCCCCAGCACAGCCTGTCAGGCCCCCCCTTACGTCTCTGGTGTCTTATTTACCCCCCCCCCCTTACGTCTCCTCCCAACCTGTGCCCCCGTCCGGTCAATGCCGCAAGTACACCGTCTGCCGCGTTCCAAACGGCATTGCTGCCAAGATGTATCCTGTACCCCCCCCCCCCCCACCCCCAGTCAATGTTGTTGGTCAGTGTTTCCGCGGCTCAGTTTACCTAATCTCCCCCCATGGTAGGTTTCCTACTCTCGATCCGCGCCCCTAACACCCCCCTCGCTCCCTCCTCCCCACACCCTCACCCTGCGACAACACCGCCTCTGCAAACCCCGCCAGCTGCCGCAGCAACTCCACCACCGGCTCCGGAACCACCCCCACCAGCATCACACCTCCTCCTCCTGCTGCTGCTGCTGCTGCTGCCTCTGCGTGGCAGTGCGCTGGTTCGGCTCCGCTGCCGCTGCCATTACTGCCCCCGCTGCCGTCCCCACCGCTGCCCCCGTGATCCGCACTACCGCCCCCGCTTCCGGAAAACGCAGGAAGCGAAGGAGGGTCCCCGGGTAGTGAGGGTCGCGGCAGCAGCGGCAGACCGGCAGATCTGCGCACCTCATCTGCTAGGCTGATCAACTCAGCGGCATTGGGAGATACAAAGGTGGCGTACGGCAGGGAAGGAGCCAGCCTGCGGTTAGGGGGGTCCGGGGGGCGATTGGGCATGTGGGATGACAGATACCGGTACGGAGCCACCGGAAGGCACCGGTAACCACTGACGGGGGCTTGCGAACCACACATGAGAGGAAGTGTGATGTTCATGGAATTAAAACAGCGACTAAACCTGTGCCTTTGGCAGCATACCATGCATGCCTTCGTGCGCGACGCTTCCTTCCCCCCACTAGTCGCCTCTGATTACTGCTACTACGGCAACCAGATAACAAGACTACACGCAATACCAAATACCAGCCCCTGTGCAGATTTTCCACCTCCGAATAATCCCCCCCAAACCGGGGGTGTACCGGTATCTTCCCCCCCCCCCCCCCCCAACCGTGTTGCTCGTCCCACTTCTCCCCCCGCCCCCACCGTGTTGCCTTGGGCACCGACACGGGTTCCAGAAACACGGGCACCCGGGCTAGGGCTGCCGTACGGCTGACGTACAGGAGGGCCTCGGAGGAGAGGTTGGCCTCCGCGAGCACCATGCAGGCCTGCGGGGGGGGGAGGAGGAAGGGGCAGCAGGGGCAGGGACAGCAACCATGAAGCAGATGTGGACATGTTGCATGTACGTAGTTCGGGACTAGGAATGCTGGCGCCTGAAGCTCCACAGCGGCAGCAGCAGCGTCGTACGGGCAGCAGCGTCGTACGGGCAGCAGCGTCGTACGGGCAGCAGCAGTAGCGCTCCATTGGAGGGTGCGGTTTTTGCGGTGGCGACATGGGGTGACCGGCGGGGTGTGATCAGCCACCGGTATCATCAGAAATAGGAAGTGGCCTTAGCGTGGTTTTGTGTGCCGGTATCCACGCTACCCGACCCGCTAAACCCACCTCCCGCTCACCTGCTGTATCTGCTGCCTGCATGCCGCCAGCCGCCCCGGAGTCAGCAGCTGCTCCACGGCCCCCACATCGGCCACACAGGCGGCCACCTCGCCGGTCCTGAGGCATGGGGGGCAGGGCGGACAGAAGGGTGGGGGCAGGGCGGGCAGGGGGGGGCGGAAGGGTAAGGGCGGCCCGACAGTGCTGTAGAATCACAAGGTGGGGGCAGTGTGGGTTGGACACAGACCGACCGACCCACCGGACTACGGTAGCAGGTAGCAGGTCACCGTGCAGGGCCTCGAGACACGGTCCGTCTGTCCGCCTTCCCCAAACGGTTTGGTTTCTCTCGGACCCTTCCCCCACATGCGCGCATACCTGTCTAGTACCGCCGACACGCAGGGAGTGGTCGCCCCGGGGTGGGTTACCAGGTGGGTCAGGTCCAGTCTGCAGGGTGGTGGGGGGGTTCATCGAACACGGACGGCATGTTGGATGGATAGGCGGATGAAGCTGTTCGGTTTACGGGTGGGAGGGGGTGTGAGCAACGCCTCCCACCCGCCGCTCCTTCGCTTCCTTAGCCCGAAACATCCCTTTCGCTTCACCTGCCCCTCCGCTCCCTCCTCCCCTACCACCCACCCCCCCGCACCCCCGGGACTCTAGTTGTTGCACTTATTAATTTTATTCCCCCCCACCTGAGCTTCCTCAGCGATGCTGTCAGCGCCGCCCCCGCCGTGTCGTCCCCCACCAGCGACACGAACAGCGGTGCGGCGCGGTGCGGCGGCAGCAGCCCGCTCAGCGCCTCAGCCAGGTTGCGACCCACTCCGCCCGGGACCTGACGAACCTGCGTGAAGGGGGGGGAGAAAGGTCATACCGAACCATAGGAAATCACAGGTTAGGGCAAAGCATTGGGGATAGGGGGGGAAGAAGGATACCCATGTTGAATGAGGGGGAAGGCGGGGAAGGGGAGCGGGAAGGGTAGAAGTCAAGCACTGGTGTCCCGTGATGGAAGCCCCCGTGGGGTGGAGTGGGAGGGGGTGAAGGTAGGTTGGGCTGCTTTCTGTTGACCAGGAGTGAGTCCGTTTTGTGACCGTTGGTAACTGCAACTGTCATGCGCGAAGTTAGATTACCGTTACCTCTTGCAGCTTGCACGGCCCCCCTGTCATGTCACACATGCGTGCACCTCCAAGCTTCCCTGTCTTACACCAACACAGCAGCTCTTACCTTGCCGGGAACGGAGGTACCCCGGTGCACATCTACACTGCTAGGCTGGGCCTGGGGAAGAAAGTGTGTGGAAGAGCGAAGTTTGGGAGCGAGAAGTGGGTCCAGGTTGTGGCTCTAGGTAGCTAGGATGCTCTAACGCTAGGCGCGAGATGGCGAGGTTGTACCTGGATGTCTAGGCAGGCACCGCCGATAATTACGAGCGGACCGCTGCAAGCAATTGTCCATGGAACTTCTCCCAAGCCTGGGAGTGGCTGACGGCCAGGCTGCGATGATGAGGGATGCTGACTAGGAGCAAGGTGCGCAAGAAGCACAGCCAACCTGCCGTCTGCCATCTTGTACACGTTTGTTACGTTTGTCTGGTTGCGCGTTTTGGGTTGTCTCGACTTGGAGTTGGGGTCGGGTTGGACGACTGCACGGCATACGGATGCAACATTCAGAACTTAAAGGGGAGTCGGCACTACGAAGATGCGCGATAGCGTTTAATTATTAAAGATCAGGCTGATAGCTGGTGTGGCGGCCGTCGCCGCTCACCTCGACTGCCCGTGGGCATCAGAAGATTCCTTTATAAGCGTTAGACGCCATAGTGGAAATCATTGGTAAACATGGTCTGGTTTCACTGCGAGGACTGTGGGGATACAATAAAGAAGGTGATCGAGTGCTCTAGCTTTCGCTGAGTTGCGCCGCATCCCAGCCTCCGTCACTGACAGCGCGCTGGTACCGCGTTCTAAACCCACAGCCCAAGCTCGTAAACCACTATCGGGCATGCTCTGCGAGTCGCTTCTCATGCGTGGATTGCCTCCAGACGTTCACGAGAGCAACTGTCAATGTAAGGCGTCGCGACGGCGGCGGCGGCATTTACATCATTGTTGTTTCCTTACATTCATCTGATACTCAATTCTCCTAATCTTCTAGGAAACTCGATGCCCTTGCAGCCCTTCAGCATTGCCTCCGTTGTGACCGTCCGCCCATCCCTTTTCTGTCCTTATCCTGCAGAGCCATACGGTCTGCGTCTCAGAGCATGAAAAGTATGCCTTGGCTGCGACCAAGCCCGGCGGTTTTGCCGCTGCGGGCGTACCTGTCAAGCAAGGCGGGTCCGGGTCCGCAGCAGCTGCGGCCGAGCCTTCGGGCCTTGAATTCCTCTCCACCAGGCCTCCTTGGAAGTGCAGGTGGGGCATCGCATGATGGTTATTCCTCATCCAGCCTCGTAGGTAGTGCTGTCCCGGAAGTGTCCATGAAAGCATGTGCGTGTCAGAGGGTGTTTCGCATAAAAGTCGTCAGAAACATTTATATCACAACCCGTCGCAACCCATGCTCTGTACCGTTACCTCAACTGTGCATGTTTTTTCCGCCCCTCACCCTGCCTCACCCCTATGCTCCTCCTCCTCCTTCTCCTCCGCAGCGTCTGCAACGTGTCTTGCACCAGTCGCGAGACCCTGATCAGCCACGCGGCGGGCGCCAAGCACAAGCGCCGGGCTCGAGCTGCCCTCGCGGCCGCCAACGGAGGCGCTGCAACGACCAACGGCAACGGCAACGGTGCTAACAACAACGGCACTGCAGCAGCAGCAGGTAGGGTGTTGGGGCTACCATGTCTGTCTTCCAAGCATCCCACTTTTTTGTCTTCCAAGCCTGTTGGGCTGTTGAACCCTGAACAAGCTTTAGCAAGGACGAACGGATGCGGATTCAACTTGTTTTCTACTTCTCGTGAACACTGTGCACCAACCCATCTGCGCTGAACACTATGCATTATGTCATCATCTGTGCAGGCGGTGCTGCTAACGGCGGCAACAACAACAACAACAACACCAACCACGCCTCCAAGCGCAAGGCGCCTAGCAGCAGCAGCAGCAGCTCCTCTTCTGACGACAGCAGCAGCAGCAGTGACAGCGAGAGCGAGGATTCCAAAAAGAAGCAACAGCAGCAGCAACCCGCCAAGCGTCAGGCAGTCGGCACTGGCGCCAAGCCCACTGCCGCTGCTGCCAAGAAGCCCGCCGACAGTTCATCTAGTGACTCTTCCTCCTCCTCCTCGGATGATTCCAGCAGCAGCAGCGACAGTGACAGTGATAGTGGGGACGCCAAGAAGCAGCAGCAGAGGAAGCCGGCGGCAACCTCTGCAGCCAAGCCCGAGACGGCTAAGGCCGGGGCAACCGCCGCTGCCGCCGCCGCCCCAGCCACGAAGGGGGCTGCTGCTGCTGATGCCAAGAAGAAGCCGTCGTCGTCTACTTCCTCGTCCTCCTCCGACTCCTCCTCTTCCTCGGAGTCTTCCTCCTCATCTGACGACGAAAGCAGCGACAGCGGGAAAGCAGCAGCACCTGCTGCTGCGGTAAAAAAGCCCGCCGCCGCTGCTCCTGCTCCTGCCCCTGCTCCTGCTGCTGCTCCCAAAAAGGCGGCGGCTGCGGACTCTTCATCTTCTGACGATTCGTCTTCGTCGTCGGACGACGAGGACAGCAGCGACGCAGCAGCCACCCCACCCAAGCCTGTTGCTGCCGCCGCTGCCGCTCCCAAGACCGCAGAGCCCAACGCAGCTAAGAAGCCCGCACCTGCAGCCTCCTCCTCCTCTTCCGAGAGCTCATCCTCCTCATCATCATCTGACGACAGCAGCGACAGCGATAGCGACGACAGCGGCGAAGCGGATACCAGGAAGGGTAACAGCGGGCGAACGCAGTCGGGCCCCCTGGTTTCAGAGCCCATGAAGACACCGGTGTCTGGGGGAGGTGGAAACGCAGCAGCAAGCGCTTCCGCGAAAGACAAGGCATCAGCCGCCGTCTCGGCAGCAGCAGCTGTAGGTGCAGCGAGCAGCAAGCCGGGGTCGTTTGGCAGCGACAAGGGCAGCGGCAGCGGCCTAGACACGGACTGCTCTTCTTCAGACTCGTCTGATTCGGATTCGGATGACGAGCGGGAGAAGAAGAAGTCGGCCGCAACCACCGCCGCCGCGGCCCTTGCTGCTGCTGCCCCGGCTGCGAAGGCTGCTGCTGCTGCTGTCCCTTCTGGTAAGGCGGCGAAGGCGAAGGCTTCTGAGAGCTCTTCCTCTTCAGGTGACGACAGTGACAGTGACAGCAGCGATGAGAGCGACAGTTCGAGCGATGAGGAGGAGGAGAAGAAGAAGGAGAAGGCGGGCACCGCTGCGACGGGGACAGCAGCTGCTGCGCCCGCGGCTGCGGCGAAGGCCACGGCGGCTGGTTCGAAACGCAAGGCGGATTCGGATTCGAACGAGTCATCGGATTCGGGTTCCGATTCGGGGAGCAGTGAAAGCAGCAGCGAGGAGGACGAGGACAGCGACAGCGAGGAGGAGCAACCAGCTGCCAAGAAGTCCAAATCCGGTGGGTCCATAACTTGAAAGGGCGCACATGCCTCCTTACCAACGTCCTTTTGGTAAAGCACTCGAGTTTGACAACGCACACCTATGTTGGTAAAATGAGCGTGGAGCACCTGGCCCCCAGTTGCAACGATGCGGTTGCCCTGTCGTTGTTATCGTTGTTGTTGATGTTATTGTTGTTGATGTAATTGTTGTTGTTACAGTCGTTGTTGTGGCTCCTAGGCTAGGTTAGCATGTACCGGTACCCCTGCGGAGTTCATACCAATACCTGCCTCTCACCTGCTTCCCCCACTCCAACACCACCTCCTCTACCTTCTCCTTCTCCCTCAGACACTCTGGGGGCGGCTCTGGCCGACGGCAAGAAGTTTGGCAACCTGGCAGCCGGCGTGAAGGAGGCTCTCGACAAGAAGGGAGTGGTGAGCTCGGGGCTGTGTGCTGGGGGACGGCAGGAAATCCGCCTGTCGTACGATTGTAGCCTTGTAGCAGATACAAGCACACTTTGGCTTGTCAGTCGGGCCCGTTATTGGGCTGTGTATTTCGTTCCACGTCTTCTGCCTTGTCAAGAACACCTTGTCAACGACACGCATATGTTAAGACAACTGGCCGCGTGTGCGTGTGTGCGCAGGTGGGTCGAAAAGTGTTTCTCAGACTGGTTCGATCGCACCTTCTGGAGGTGACTGCGGCTGCCGGGGAGGTGGCTGACGAGGATTTGGAGCGGGTACGGAAGCAGGTGGGTGTACGGCAGAGTGCTAGAAGTACGATGCATGAAGCAAGCATGCAAGCAAAGCATGCGTACGCTGGGTTGAAGATGCATTTATGCATGCACACAGTCCTGAGTGAGTCGCTATGTATATAATTCACTCGGGATTACCGGTATCATGCATGGCACGCGTGGGCCTTAAGATCACATTCCTGCGGGGCATCTCCTGTCTTCGCGCCGTGGAATGCAATTGAGTCATACCCGCGCTAAAGCAACGCAAGCCAGGACTTGCCGCGTTATGCGGCCTGCCCTGGCTGATTGCCGTTCCAGCATGCCGCTCTGCGGCCCCGCTTGCTTGCGACCCCATGCGGTCACAACCTGAACATCGAGCGGGCGCTGGTTTGGACAACATAACTTTACATACTTTACGGAAAACACTCTTTTATATGCGAATGCGACCCTGCTAACATACTATGTCTGCTGCATGAAAACGCACGCGTGGGCCTTAAGATCACATTCCTGCCTTCGTGCCGTGGAATGCAATTGAGTCATACCCGCGCTAAAGCAACGTAGGCTTGCGGTTCGTACGCGTTATGCGTCGTACCTGAGCCGATTGCCGTACTCAGCACATACCGCGCACCGCGCTCTCGCGTGTTGTGTGCGGACCCGCCCGTTTGCTTGCAGCTCCACCGTTTGGTGGAGCTGCATCCCCAAACACATCGGTCGGCAGCTGGTTCGGACGACAACCCCTAATTAACTTGGCACACTTGCTTGCTGAGCTGTGCTGAGTAATTGTTTAGCCACCACCTAAAGATGCACAAGCAGCGCAACCGCAACCGCCAACCAACCGACCACCAAACAACCAACCAACCATGAATTGGCCGTGTCCCCATGCCCATGCGTATGTGTATGTGGTGGACATTTTGTCCTGTCATTTTTATCCTGTTTGTTTTTTTACCCTTCTTTGCCCAAATTATTGCCTGAATGCCACCCCCTCCTTACCTCTCCCCACTGCAGCTTGCGTTGACGGGAGTGTGTGAGGTGAAGGCTGCGACTGCGACACGCCTGGTGAAGCCCAATGCAGCTGGCAAGGCCAGCAAGAAGTGAGGGGGAGGAGGAGGAGGAGGACAAGGAGGGTGGCATTGGGTGACGACGCTACCGAGTTGACAGGGTTACGGTTTTGGTTGCAGCGGTACGGGAAGGTCAAAGCATGATGGTGGTTTTACTGAGAGTGGAGGGGAGCAGGATGGCTGTGTGTATAGTTTGAGATCGAGAGACGGGTAGCGTGTGTGTGCTGAAATGGTGCTTTCAGAACTCGAGGTTGGTAACAGTAACACTGTGTTAAAAAAGATGGTTGGGCGCCGGTTCAAGGATGGGAGGGTACATTGTGTTGGACGGATTAATAGGCCGTTGGGAGCTTTGCATGCTTTCTACATGAAGTGTGTCATGATAGTAAGCGATGTGAGATATGACTATATCGATACTTTGGGTGATCCTGACCAGTCGTAATCTATGTGTCACGCCTAGGTGGCTGAGCGGCCGTGGCGAATATACTGGTGTGATGAACACGGCCAGACATTGCGACTTCCCCTGCCTGTCTGCCCTTCCTCTATTGTAAAATAACCGCGTCTTATAAGTTTGCCTGCATACCCAGATCCATTACCCCACGCCCTAACCTGTGGTTTGCTATGGCCTGATACGGTCCTTGACACCCTAGTCCTGTGCCCCCGGACTCAGCACGAACGTCCACTCACATGACCCATGGGTCGCCTTCCGTTCCCGAAAGTGAGATGCACGTGTGCCAGACGACCCATCCGGGCCACCTTGAGCGTGCATGCAACTCCTCCTCCCCCTCTGGCACCCTCCCCGGCCCGGCCCTGATGCCCCGTTCAACCGCTCAGCCAAGGCCGCCTCCTCTGCGAGCGCCTCTTCTGGCAGCAATTGCGGAAAACCCTCCAGCCTGCACTGCCACCTCTCTCTTGCTACCTCCCTCCTGCTGCACCCGTACAACTAGCAACTCGCGCTATGCAACAGCTCCAGCAACTCCGCTGGTGAATCCGTAAACAACCCGTCTATACCCGGGGAGGCAGCCCCTACCGCTACCCCAACCTCCGCTGCCTCCCCAGCCTTGACCTGCTCCTCCCCCTCAGCGACTGCTGCGTCCTGACTGCTGCTACCCTGCTCACTCATGCTGCAGGTGGTGCCGCTGCTGCTGCTACTCTGGTGGGAACTCTGCCCGCACGTGCTGCGGGTGGTGCCGCTGCAAGTGTTGCTGCGGCGGGCCCTCCTCCCATCACAGGCCTCAGAGGTGCTTTCACACCTGCCGTTGTTGCTGCTGCAGGTGCTGCTGCTGCCGCCGCCAGCCAGCAGCAGCGGCAGAACCTCATCCTCCCAGCTGCGCGCCCCGGGCAGCAAGTGACCCGTGGGTCGTGGCTTGAACACGGATGCAAACACTTGCAGACCGGCACGGCGCATTCGTAACAGCACCTCCGATGCCACCAGGGGAGGCGGTAACTGCATGATGGGATCCGCGGGGACGGGGGCGCAACAAGATCCTCCTCTGCTGCTTTCCTTTCCGCAGCTTTCACCCCTGATGCCACAGGATGCTGGAGGTGCTGCCGTCTTTGCTGCCGTCTGTGCGGCCGCTTCCGCCCCTACCTCTTTCGCGCCCGCCTGTACTGCCTCCGCTTCATCCTCCTGTGTTGTCTCCCCTTCCGCCTGCGGGTCCTCCTCCTTAGGATGCCCCGCAGCCGAGCGCAGCTGCAGCAGCTGTTGTCGTGCAACTGCCACCGACCCCGCATACGTTGATATGCGGGCCAGGCCCTGGGGACTGGTTGCCTCCTCCCAGGTCTCACCCGTGTCAGGAATGGTGGGCCTGAGGAAGGAAGTGCAGGGGTGAAAGATGTAGATAAGTGCATCAACGGATAAGTGCATCAAATGCAGGGGGGGGGTGTTCGGATGGGGTACCAAATGGCGCACCAAACCCGGTCTCGATCCAAACACAGCCAGAAGGATTACACATCAAAACGATTCAGCAGCAGCTTCCCTTCCAAAGCAGCAGTTTCCCTCCCAATCATCCTCTCAATGGGCGAGGAAGCTGCCCCGTCCTCCCAACCTACCCCAGCACTTGCGTGAGGGGCGAGGAGGTGCGGCGGGCCAGGTAGCGCAAACTGCCCGCCTGAAGGGTGGTTAATGGGGAGGGTGGTGGGGTCAGAGATACACCAAACCCCAGGTTAGGGCACAGCAATGGGGATAGCTAGAGGGAGGCAGTGGCGGTGGGAGGGAATCTGGTAAAGCGAGGGGAATCAGGGGTGTAGAGGGTAGGAAGTACCGGTCCCGGTAACCGCCCGAGGGGAAACATCCGAGGCAGCCGAGCTGACAGGTCGCGCTGGGCCCATGCGAGCACTCATGCCTGCGTGCATGCATGTTGGCGAGATAGAAGATTCACAATGAGTCTGAAACTCTGAACAAATCGCCATGCATGATTTGGTGGGGCTCTGGGCCCAGCAGGGCTCCTACACTTACTTTTTGGCCACCTCCTGTTCCCTACGCCATGCAAACATACATATATCTGTGTACACCCGTGTTCCCTTTTAGAGCACCACTGTAACAGTCATTCATTCATCTACACGTACACAGCTGTCGCACTGTACACACCTCAAACGCCATGATGTACGACGGGCGGCGGCACCAGGCCTCGCTGCCGTACGGTCCTGTCGCGTATCCGTACCGCTGCATGAGCGCCAGCAGCAGATCCTCGAAGGAGCTGCTGCTGTTGGCGGCCAGGAGTTGGGAGTTGTGCCAGGAGGCGTTTTGGATGTGTACGGCAACTCCCACTGCGGGTTGTACGGCCTGTATGAGTGGTTGCGATTGTTGGGGGAGGGAGCGGGGGGGGGGGGAATTCCAATGTGTGGTGTGATGATGGCACAAATTAGAGAGGGGGAAGGAGGGATGGGGAAAAGAAGGAAAGCCATGCGTTGAATTACTGTAACGACACATGGTGGCAAGCTCCTGAGATGGGAAGGGTGTTGTACGGCACGTGGGGTGGTGTACGGCACAAATGCCGGCAGCAGCCCAGGGCAAGACGTGGAACGCTGGCATGCTGCATTGGCACTCACGGATGCCATCCTCAGCAGGTCCTCCAGGGAAGCCACCCGAAGCAGCTCCTCCTCCTCCTCCTTGCCATCAGGTGCAACAGCATCCGCGCTAGCATCGCCACCAGTAGTAGGAGCAGCAGCAGCAGCAGCAGCAGCAGCACCAACAGTAGTAGTAGGAGGAGGAGCAGCAGCAGGAGCAGCACTGCTGCTGGACCCTCCCGGGAACACCGCACGGAGCTGCTTTAACCCCTCCAGGCTGAGACCTGACGCCAGCACTACCGCACTATCCTCCGGGACATCATCACTCCGTTCACTGCTGCTGCCTCCACTGCTGCTGCTGCTGCCATAACACCCAGGAACGGCAACAACAGGAGCACCAGGAACTGCTGCAGCTGCAGTAGGAGTGGCAGCAGCAGCAGGGCTCGCAGCGGCAGCTGCCAGGCCACACGTGCGGCCCTGCTGCCGTATCGCCAGCCATTGCCGTACGTTTGTCGTGTCGGCAATGTTGGGTTCGTGGCGACAGATGGGTACACGGTCCCGGGTGAGGACAACGTCGCATTCTATGAAGTGCGCGCCTGAGGGGTAAAAGGAGGACAAAGAAAGGGGTTCGTAAAGAAGGGGGAAAATAAGATCAAATAAGATGGAGGAGAAAAAGGTAAAGGGGTAAAAACAGGTAAAGGGGTGGGGGGAAGGGTAAGATGGAGAGGGTTTGGGGTGTTTTGGACGGTGGGAGAGCAATGACGTGGGATACATGAAGGGGGGCGATTGGTGTCTCTGCATCAGAGCCGGCCAAGCCGGGAAAACAGGAGCACGGCAACGTACCTTGCTCAATCGCGGCTTTGTAGGCCCCGATGCTATGCTCCGGGAAAGCAGCCGATGCGCCGCGATAAGCCATGACGAAAGGCCGGCCATCCTTGCTCTGCGTTACGACCGATCAAGCAAGGAACACATTATACCGATGGTAAATGTCAGAAGATAATACTGAATTTACATCTTTTGCCTCATTTTGGCACCGCTGGCTTACTGGCAGGAAGCAAGCCGGCGAACCAAGTCGGCTGCTGCCGCTGCTGTTCGCCCAGACGATTCCTCCGCCGGATAACAACAAGCCCAGGACACTTATAAGACGCAAACACTGCATTCTTCTTCCTCTTCCTAAATTTCGGATCAACCTCGTGTAAAAGCCGAGTTCGCTGGATGCAAGCTTAACAACCAACTGCCGGTCGTTCCTCGTTGAGTTCTTTGGCGGAATCACCGATCCCGTACCGCGCTCCGAACCTGACCGAAGCAGCGCCCAATCAACCGCAAGCTCGCAGTGCTGCTTCGGGGGGTTGCCCCCCTAGCACCCGCCGACCTGGCACCCGCCAAGGTACCCGCTGACCTGGCACCCGCTGACCTGGCACCCGCCGACCTAGCACCCACCGACCTATCACCCGCCGACCTGGCACCCGCCGACCTGGCACCCGCCGACCTGGCACCCGCCGACCTGTCACCCGCCGACCTGTCACCCGCCGACCTGTCACCCGCCGACCTGGCACCCGCCGACCTGGCACCCGCCGACCTAGAACCCGCCGACCTAGCACCCGCCGACCTAGCACCCGCCGACCTAGCACCCGCCGACCTAGCACCCGCCGACCTAGCACCCGCCGACCTAGCACCCGCCGACCTAGCACCCGCCGACCACGCACCCGCCACCTGGCACCCGCCGACCTGGCACCCGCCGACCAAGCACCCACCGACCTAGCACCCGCCGACCTGGCACCCGCCGACCTGGCACCCACCGACCTAGCACCCACCGACCTAGCACCCGCCGACCTAGCACCCACCGACCTAGCACCCACCGACCTTGCACCCGCCGACCTATCACCCGCCGACCTTGCACCCGCCGACCTGGCCCCGGCGACCTGGCACCCGCCGACCTGGCACCCGCCGACCTGGCACCCGCCGACCTGGCACCCGCCGACCTGGCACCCGCCGACCTGGCACCCGCCGACCTAGCACCCGCCGACCTGGCACCCACCGACCTAGCACCCGCCGACCTAGCACCCACCGACCTTGCACCCGCCGACCTAGCACCCGCCGACCTGGCACCCGCCGACCTAGCACCCGCCGACCAAGCACCCGCCACCTGGCACCCGCCGACCTAGCACCCGCCGACCTAGCACCCACCGACCTAGCACCCACCGACCTTGCACCCGCCGACCTATCACCCGCCGACCTGGCATCCGCCGACCTGGCACCCGCCGACCTGTCACCCGCGGACCTGGCACCCGCCGACCTGGCACCCGCCGACCTGGCACCCGCCGACCTAGCACACGCCGACCTAGCACACGCCGACCTAGCACCCGCCGACCTGGCACCCACCGACCTAGCACCCGCCGACCTTAGCACCCGACCTAGCACCCGCCGACCTAGCACCCGCCGACCTAGCACCCGCCGACCTAGCACCCGCTGACCTAGCACCCGCCGACCTAGCACCCGCCGACCTGGCACCCGCTGTTCTAGCACCCGCCGACCTAGCACCCGCCGACCTG